TTTGATACAATTAACTTGCCTTAGATTAGAACTATTTTTATTAGATGTTATTTGGTCATGGCAATTTAATATTAAATACTAGGCTTATATGATGGATTTTTCTAATAAATAAAAATGCCAGAAGTACTTAGGAAAAATTTGCCTCAGACTCTAAAAGTGTATGCCTTAAAACATTATCCTGAATATTCATAGACAATGATGATAATAATTATTGAGTGTTTGCTACTCTAAGTGCCAGTTTTTATTATTAATTAGTGCTAGTTAATTAATTTTAGTGATAACTAGTTTGATCTCAGCCCTCACTGAAGCCTCTTTGGCAGGTATTGATATTATTTCCTTTTTAATATAATTAAAACTAAGAAATTGAAATTATAGATAACTTGCTCAGTGTCACATCATAAATACTGAACTGAAATTTAAATCCATGAATCTATGTATATTTCATTTTCTTAATTGGGTTACTAAAAGTTACAAAGAACATTTTTTAAAAGGATTGTTTACTTTTAGTGAAACTCAGGATAATTGTAGCTAGCCATATAACATTTGAAGAATGTGGACATTATGAGGTTCTCAGTATTTGAAAATATTTAAAGGGTAACCATGCAACTTATGTTATATATTTAATTATTTTATATCTTTGGAGTTAGCAAGGAAAGTTGAATACAAAAGTCATATTGTAACTTCTTTCCAGGAAATTTTGTGATTTACATGACTTTGGAATGGATGGGGAAGGAAAAACCTTGAAGTTTAAATTCTAAGACCTAAAATAATGCCTGTGATAATTTCGAATTAAGGTGTCTGTTTAATTGAACAATTTTTTCCAAATAACTTAAATCTGTTCTATAATTTAAATTAACAGGCTAGGAAGACTAAAAATTATGTTTTGCGTTATTGACTTAAACTGAGAGAATAAATGCAGAATATATACCACAACCTAGAAAGTGTTATGTTAAAGTGTCAGGTTCCTCCAGAAAATAGGCCAGGCTTCTTGTTTTATACTTTTACCAAAGACCACAAGGAATACACTTGTTATTGAACAAGTTAAGGATTACTATTTATTGTAGGGAGGGAAGAGTGCTTACATAGGGAATCTATAAGGTACATCAGGATGGTAGGGGGGAAAGAAATTATTACAGGATTTGGTTATAGTATATGTTAGGCTATTTGGGGGAGAATTTAAGGAAAAAAAAATGTATAGAGCCTCACTTTGGATTGGGTAATGTTGGGAAGTAAATCTCAATAAATCTTAGCTGTGAAGGAGTATACTGTTTATACTGAGTCTGAAGCTATAGTTGATAAAGAAGTAGCCGTCACTCATATAGTGAGAGAAGGGGTTATTTGGTATTCTGTGGGATACATAGTGGTCTTGTCTGTCTTGCAGGTTTTTTAAGGTGTTTTTATTGTTCAGTAATAAACCAGAATGGCTTAGCTAAAAGCATCAGATTGGTGTTTAATGACATTGAGGCCTAACTGTGAGTAGCATCAGTTAGGTTTCTAGATTTCAGAGACTGCTTTTTCTTTTTTCTTTCCTTTTTCTCAGGCCACGGCCAAGTACAATGAGACAGGCCTGTTAATCCTAGTGGCTTGGGCATCTAAGACAGGAGGATTGTGAGTTCAAAGCCAGCCTAAACAAGTCAGTGAGACCTTGTTTCTAAATAAAATACAAAAAAGGGCTGAGGATGTATCTCAGTGGTAAACGCCCCTCTCTCTAATCCCCGATACAAATAAATAAATACATAATGAATGAAATATATATATATCCCCTCTCAGACCAAAGCAAGTCGTTCCTGCAGATAATGGTGAAAGATAACCAATGTGAAAGCATTTTTGCCTTCTGTACATTTCATTCTTTAAAAAATGTGTATGTGTGTGTGTTATTGTGAATTAAGTCAAGGCCTCATGCATGGTAGACAAGTGCTTTAGCATTGTGCTTCATCCCCAGCCCTTCTTTAAAGTTTTATTTTGAGGGCTGGGGATGTGGCTCAAGCGGTAGCGTGCTTGCCTGGCATTCGTGCGGCCCGGGTTTGATCCTCAGCACCACATACAAACAAAGATGTTGTGTCCGCCTAAAACTAAAAAATAAATAAAAATTCTCTCTCTCTCTCTCTCTTTTTTAAAAAAATAAAGTTTTATTTTGAGACAGGATTTTGATAAGTTGTCTAAGATAACCACACATCCCCTATTGATTGATAACCTCTACCCTCTTTTATTTGTATTGGCATGTGTTAACATAAAAATGCTGATAACAGAACATCTTTGTCTTAATTCTTATTTCACCATTAATATAATATCTATAATGTTTGTATAGACAACCTTTATCAAATTTGAGTGTTTTCTTAATTTCTTGAAAATTTTGAGTCAGTGTCTTGAGTTTTTGTCAAATGAATATTTTGAAATGATTTTTTTTATTTTCTTCGACTACTATGTTTGTGGTGAAGTGCTYTGCAAACACACAAACTCATGTTTTTCTCGTTAAACAGCAAATTTGTTGTCCCACAATTCTCTTAAGTTAGAAGTTTAAAATCAAGGTGTTGTCAGGGCCATGCTCCCTCTGAAGATACTAAGCAAGGATTTGTTCTGCCTTCTGTACATTTCATTCTTGAAAAAATGTGTGTGTGTGTGTGTTTGTGTGTGTTATTGTGAATTAAGTCAAGGCAGTCTCTGAAGTCTGTTAGATAGGCTCATGCTATAACCTTATTTTAACTTAATTACTTTGGTTAAAAACATTATCCAGATTAAATCACATTCTCTGGTATCGGGGTTTAGGACTCTGGGTGTGTGTATGTGTTTGCACAATTCAAGCAATAAGAATCTGGTACCAGACGTTCATCTGTTGTGCACCTTGGTGGGTGTGAACTGAAGCCAAATGCTTATGACTTGCTCTTGATCAGTATTACTTAATATTTGGGTGTGAAATCAATCTAGATTTTTTTTTTTTAATGAGCTTCACTTGGTAGTAAGGTATTATTGTTTTAAGAAATGCATTTTTAAGAAACCCTGCTGAGTAACTCCTAGATTTAAAAAGATATCATAGTGGTATTTTTTTAATAGAGTAATAATGGAAGTATGACATCAAAATGTGAGCTGCAACTAAATCAGCTCTTAGAAATTTATAGTATCTGCATATACATTATAAATGAGAAAAGATTAAAAACTGATTAAACTTGAACCTCAAGTAAAAAGGTGGTAAATTCAACCTGCTCAAAAAAGTAAAAGAATAACAAATGAAACTAGAAAGCAGATGTAAAACAGAAATATTAGCCAAGATAAAATACAACACACAAATACACACAAACCCAACCTTTTTTGCTAACAACTTTTCTGTTATAATTACATACATACAGCTCACCCATAAAAATATACAGTTTACTGTTTTTATAGCATGTTCACAGAGTTATATAGCATGACCTCAGTCAGTGTTAGAACATCTTCATTACTCCATAAGGAAATCCTATACCTTTTAGCAGCTACCATTTCTTCCCAAACCCTCTGCCCTAGGCAATCACTGATTTACTTCCCATCTCTATAGATTTGCCTATTCTGAACAAATCATATAACTGAAGTCATTTAGTATGTAGTCTTTTGTGACTGATTTCTTTCTCTCAATGTATTTTCAAGATTAATCTGTGTTGTAGCATATGTCATTATTTTTTTCCTTATAAGACTGCATAATTTCCCATTGTATGGACATACTACATTTTTATTTATCTATTCATTGGTTTCTGAATATTTAGGTTTCTCAATTTTGGGTTATTATGGGTAATGCTACTTGCTGTAAGCATTTGTGGGTAAGTTTTTGTATGGACTTAATCTTTTTGTTTCTTTTGGGTGTATTCCTAAGAGTAAGAACTGCAGAGTCATATGGCAACTCTGTTTATCATGGTGAGGAACTGCCTGTTTTTCAAAGCAGCTGCACCATTTTACAGTCCCACCGGTATTGTTTAAAGGTTCAAATTTTTCTACATCCTTTCCAGAATTCAGAATTATCTTTTGTTACAGCTATCCTGGTATGTGTTATCTCATTGTGGTTTTGATTTGCATTTTCCTGATGACATATGGTGTTCAGCATCCTTTTCATGTTTATTCCTTATAGAGTATTCACTTACTGAGCTATTTTGTAGACAAGTCTATTCAAGACCTTTGTTTGTTTTTAAATTGGTCTATTTAGTTTGTGGATATGGGTGTGTGGATACATACATACATACACACATATATACATTTTATATATGTCTCTTATCAATATAGAATTTGCAAATGTTTTCTCCCATTGTGTGAATTGTCTTCACTTTCTTTTTAAAAAATATTTAAAATTTTTAATTGACAATGTCTTTTTTGATGGCAAATGCCTTGTTAACATTAAAAACTTCTGTTAATTTATAGTTAGGCTTGATTCACATATAATCTTTCCTTATATGTTCTTTAATTCTTCCTTTATGTCTTTTCCATCCCCTTCTGTTTTCATTTTTATACTTTTTTTCCTAATTTTCTTCATCTGCTTTTTTATTTTCCTGTATCTCCTTTAGGTTCTATATATCTCACGTGGAGAATGAAAACTGGTCTTTTTATTTCTGTTTTTTTCCTAGTAAATTAATGTTCTAGTATGAACTGTTCACATTGTCACTCTTTTTGGGGGGGTAACAGGGATTGAACCCCCCCAGGGTGGCTTAACCACTGATCCATACCCCCAGCCCTTTTATAGTTTGTTTTTATACAGGGACTCCTTAAGTTGCTTAGGGTCTCAGCCCCCCAAGCCCCTGGTATTAGTATTACAGGGGTGCGCCACTGCACCCAGTAGTACATTGTCACTTTTGTAGTACGTAAATCTAGTAAATATGAAAATCAGTACACAGCAAGGATTAATTTTTTGGTTTGTTATTTCAAAATCATATGATGTAAGCTTTTATTCATTTATCAATTTGTACTATCAGTTTGTAGTAAGTCAGTAATTAGATAACTTCTGTTTAAATTATTAAACTAGTTTCTTTTTCTTTTTTTTAAAGATTCAAAATGGATAGTATAGAAGAACCTCAGAAAAAAGTCTTCAAAGCTCGAAAAACAATGAGAGTGAGTGATCGTCAACAACTTGAAGCTGTGTACAAAGTCAAAGAAGAACTGTTAAAAACTGATGTCAAGCTATTAAATGGCAACCATGAAAATGGAGATTTGGACCCAACCTCACCTTTGGAAAATATAGATTATATTAAAGATAAGGAGGAAGTGAATGGTATTGAAGAGATTTGTTTTGATCCTGAAGAAAGTAAAACAGAATGGAAAGAAATGTCCTGTATCCTAAATGTTAATGTAAAAAACAAGCAGGATGATAATTTAAGTTGTGAACCTTTGTCTCCTAAGAATATAACTCCTGAATCAGCCTCTAAACTGACCACTGAACCAGCTTCTGGTGATCCAGCCACTGTAGATCCAGACTCTGAAGAACTAGCCTCTATAGATCCTGCCTCTGGTGATCTATCTGTTGATCCCTCCTCTGCTGATCCCTCCTCTGCTGATCCCTCCTCCAGGGAGCCTGTCTCTGGTGATCTTAGCTCTGGTGATTCCACTTCTGGTGAACCGGTTTCTACTCAAGTGATTTCTGGTGAGCCAGTTTCTGGCGAAACTGCCTCTGGTGAAATAGGTTCTGGTGATCCTGCTTCTGATAATTCAGCCTCTGGTGATCTAGCTCCTGGTGAACTATCTTCTGGTGATCCTGCTTGTAGCGAATTGGCCTCTGATGATCTGGCCTCTGGTAAACTGGCCTCTGGTAAACTGGCCTCTGGTGAATTGGCCTCTGAACTGACTTCTGAATCAACCTTTGAAGCCACCTTTGAAGCCACCTTTGAACCAAGTTCTGTACCAGTTTGTGAACCAATTACTGAAACTGACAGTACAGGACAGAGTAGCAAAAAAGATGATGATTTTCTTGAAAAAAAAGATGATGATGAAAAGTTAGATCAAATTCAGTGTAAAGATTCATTTGATCAGGAAAAAAAAGGTGATAGTAATATTGGTGGCAGTGAAGAAGCTGCAGAAACAGATAATACAATTATTTGTTCAGATCTACTTCATGAAAATGAAAAGAAGGTAGAGGAAGATCCTATTACAGAGCTTGCTTTAGGAGAAGAGGCTATATCCAGCAGTATGGAAATTGACCATGGTGAAAAGAATGAAGATGAGAATTCTACAGACCTTGTAGAAAGCATTCATGAAAATGTTAAAAAAGACGACAAAAATGAGAATATCTTAGAAAGTGCAGATTCTATGGAGACAGATGAAATCATCCCTATTTTGGAAAAACTTGCTCCTGCTGAAGATGAACTTGCTTGCTTTTCTAAAACTTCTCTCCTTTCAAATGACGAGACAAATCCAGATTTGGAGGAGAAAATGGAAGGTTCTTTTGGATCTCCATCTAAACAAGAAAGTAGTGAGAGTTTACCAAAAGAAGCTTTTTTGGTCCTCTCTGATGAAGAGGATATTCCATGTGAAAAAGAGGAGTCTGAAGTTATATCACAAAATGAGACATGCTCACCAGGTTAGCAGATTATATAAGTTTTAAAGATTTTTATTAGCTTTTGCAACTGTTTGATAAAACATTCTGGTAAAGTTTTAAGTTTATATTAGTTTCAGAGGACGTTGAGAATGGTGGTGACTCTATAGAAGGATCTCTTAATGTATTCACAGAATTCATAATTATGAAATGCTCTCTCTGTGAGCAACATCATGGTAAATTCTGGAAAAGGGTATATAGATAGGTAGAAAATATAACCTGTTCACAAGTGACTTCTAGTCTAGGAACAGAGATAAGATGGACCAATATACCACTTTGAAAATCTAAATAAGTACATAATTGATCAAAGTCCTAGCAATTGTTTCTGGGTATCACTTAATGAACAGATTACAATCTAACAGTCTACTAGTTTATTTCCTTCAATTGTAACATCATGTTTTCAATTACTCTTCCCAGTAAAATCTTATTTTTAAATATATATATTTTTTTGACCAGGCAACAATACTACCATTGTTCGAAGCCAAAACTCTTGAAACTCGATTATCCATTCAACAAAGACTTTTTACTCATTTGTTTCCTCAGCCCTCTTGATTCTACCCAAGCTACTCTCTTCCTTTTTATCTTCTGAATGATCTCCTTCCCTTTCATGAGGTTCCTGTTACTTTTAGCTTAATTCCAAATTACTTATCAAAAGTGATAGAAACTTCATGATTTGATCAACACCTACATTTTCCATCTGGTAAAACCTTCTTCTTCTTCTTCTTCTTTTTTTTAAGGCTAACTGCTTTTGTGATCAAACTCTTGGAAGCATTATTCCTATATAAAACATTAATCTCCCTCAGACTACCATGAATACTTTTCTGTTCCTATAGTATGACATTCTCTTAGAGATCCCAGGAGGAATCTTGCTCAATAAAACAGAATGTCAGCTAGAAAACCTTTGTTTAAAGTGAAAACAGGGAGGTGAGACTAGTAGACAAAGAGGAAAACTTTAATATATCATTTTAGGTTTTGGAGGTAGAGTTTTTTTTTTTTTTTTTGATCATTATAAGATGACTTCATTTCCAAAGAACTTATGTAGAGAGGTTAGGTAGGCTCTTCTTGGTTCTAAGGATTTAAAGATACCCCCAAGATGCAGATAAGAATTTAATCACAGACCAAGGCTGGAAATACAGTGATAATGTTACATTGGTTTTCTGGGAGGGTAGGGGAGGGTAACTTTATGAGTGCACAGATGAGTTCAAGGAAGGCTTGCCTTTTGTTGTATGCATACCATAGGTTTTACTCCTTGTAATAGCAGTGTCATCTTACTCAGGCGAGAAAATTTGGAACCATTTTTTTTCCTCTCCTGTATCTCAGATACAATCCATTAGGAAATCCTGTTGGTACTGTCTTTGGAATGGGTCTGAAGTCCAGCCCATAATTGTTATCACCCCTGCTCTGAGCCACCAACATCAGGCTATAATGTTGCCTGGTACACCGTAAGTGCTCAGTAAATATTTGTAAAGTAAATGAATAATTGATAATGTCAGAGAAGCTTATCATGGGGGACCTTGGTTACAATGCTAAAAGCATTATGATGGCAATAGAGGGGCTCTTGAAGAGTTTCAAGTATAATTTATATTTTGGAAAGATAATAGGCAATAGTGTGGTGAAATTTATTAATCCATTCAGTAGGTATTTATACAAAATACAGCACTGGGACAAGTATTTCAGAAAGCATTATGGTAGTCTTTGTAAAGAAAAAAATCAGCAATTATAGCTTGTAATTTAATGAGTCTGTACATTTTATCTATGTCAAAATCTTGATGTTGGAGACCATCCATATAGTGCTGTTAAATTCAAAGAATGAAAAATAAGCCATCACATTGCATACTTTAAAATTTCAGTGTTGGGTTTATTTTTATTTGCCTTTAGAGTGTAATCTGATTCTATGCTTTTAGTTGGGTATGTTTTAATGGCAGATTTCATTTCTTAGCTAGTAACTGAACTTTAATTTTGTGTCTTCCCCTACCCTCTCTGATTTTGTTTATTGTAAGTTTAAGTAGTTTTTTCATTGGTTCTTAATCTACACTCTTTGTATGGCAGCAGACTCTCCTACATGTCATGGTGTGTACCCGCTGAGGCATTACTTGCATCAATTTGTTTGTTTTTGACTGATTTTTAATGTCATCAAAACACAAAATGATAAACTGAGGTACTAAAGTCTGACTTCAGTTCCTTTTCCAGCTACTGATGTTTATGTGGTATACTAATAGGAAAACAATACAAACCTGTCATTTTTAGGCACTTGTTTAGCAAGTTTGTTTTACATGCAGCAGTTATAATGTGTGTGACCAGCATCGAAAAATAGTGAAAGATGTTAGAAAGCAAATAGAAGAGCTATTTTGATTTTACAAAAATAAGAGAAAACTAACAACATATTGCAGGTGTACCTTAATAGGTCTGGAGATACTGTTGAATTGTTGCATAGTACTATTCAATAGCTGTTATTAAATCATTAAAATCATGGTCTGTTTAAGACCACTAGCAAAATAAAGATTTCTCTCTCTGGAAAAGTTTTTGATTTCTGTCTTGCTGGGCCTCTTCCTAGTTCCCAGGGAAGTGACGTTGATACTTATATTGTTAACTCCAAGGACATTTTTCTTTGTCTTTCCTTTTTATTCTTGGATGGCCTTTTAATGATGGCCCTTCAAACTTCATACTCTCCTAAGCTTTTGGGCTACTGTGCTCATCCCACTCACCTCTTTTTGATCCTTTTATTTCTTGTGGAGAAATAGGAAGATAGCATTTCTCCACTTCCTTTCTTTTCCCCCCTTCCCTTTTCATTTGATCTTTAAGATAAACTAAATAAACTATGAATGCCAAAGAATTAAAAAAAAAAAAAAAAAGGTAGATGAACACAAAATGAATAGAATTTGGAGTTTCCTTCTCTTTTTGCTTTAGGTTAGTAATGATAGAATTGGCATGATTTAGCCAGTTAAAATTTACTAATGATTTGTTGTCACTGTTGTATTAAGCTTAAATTGTTTTTGTCTCAACTCCATTTATATTTAGCTATTTATTATGTAATTAGCATTTCTTTGTGAAGCCTTATAGTCATATACAGTGGTGCATAAATTACAACTGGAAGTTTTCTGTATTAAGGGAAATGATGAAAGGGGGTTTGGGAAGAAAATTTAGAAAAATTTAGGAGTAGAATAGCTTCTGGACATTAGTTGGAGTTGAGTGATAAGATTATATAATCTCAGAGTGATTATAAATGGAGAAGAGAGCAGATTTGTAAGAACTGAGCTTTTGACATTTCAGTGTCTAGAGATTAGGGAGAATCAGCAAAAGAGACCAAGAAAGAACAGCTGTTATAGGAAGAAAATTTAAAAGAGATTTTAGTATTCTAGAAGTGTGGCCTATGGGTCCCATGTGTTTTTTAAGTTAAGTTTTACTGGAACATGGCCAGGGCTGTTTATGTATTGTGTATTTTTTATTGCTGATTCCTGAAAAGTAAGTAGTTGTATCAGAGTCCAAGTGACCCCAAGACTGAAAATATTTTTTTGGCCATTTACAAAAATAATTTGTAGACCTCTGATCAAAGGCAATAGTTTTATCCATTGTTTCCTTGAAATGAGGTTCTATAAAATATAGTTCTGATAATGGGAAACTAAATCCCCTAATGTAAATTCTATACCTTAATTCCTAACATACTTTTTTTCATCTTAATTTACTGAAACCTTACTAAAGATAATAGTTATCAGATAAGTATTTAACATTCAATTTATCTTAGCTCTTTGTCAGAGTATTTACTGTTACCAAAATCACAAGATCTGGTCCCTTCCTATAATAACCTTACTGTCTAGTATGGTTAAAAAGATTATAGAGCTATGTTCATGGAACATGCAACTAAGAGAACTTTCCCACTCATGATGAGGCTTTACTGAAGCAAACCGGAAGAGTTATAAGAGAAACATGTCCATAGGACAAGTTCTAAAAATACTTTCTTAACATAAATACTATATTTGGATGAGTTTTAGAAGCCCTAGGAAACTGTTGCAATTGGGTATAAAATTTTGTACCAGGGCCTTTGATTATTAAAATGTTTGAAAAAAGGCCACTTCCAGTTCTCTAAAGACCTTGTGGACAAAACTGTTAAATGAAAGATGAGCCTTACCCTTCTTTTAAAAATCTGTTGGCCTGGCATAGTTGTGCATGACTTGTGATCCCAACATCTTGGGGAAGATGAGGCAGGAGGATCACAAGTTGAACACCATCCTCATAATGAGATTGTCTCAAAAAGACTGGAAATGTGCTCAATGGTAGATTGCCCCTGGGTTCAATGCCCATTCCTGCCCCCTCCCCCACCAAATCTGTTAATACCATTTTTCTCACCCAAGTTCTTTCTTTGACACATAATTCTAGCATAAAGTTTAATCCTATTAATCTTTTCTGAAATGTCAGTGAATGTTTCTGGTAATATCTTATGGGCATATCTGGAAAAAGGGAATTGGGTGATAGGAGGAGATTTTTGAGTAAAGTAAAAGAATCTCAATTTAAAACTTACATATATAAGAGGAGAGAGCGCTAATGTATACATAAAAGAGGAAGACCAGACAATGCCAGTTTAATTCTGTGTTCTAGATTCTCTAGCTTCTAGTTATCCTAATTGGTTGGAGCCATAGCTAATTTTGTGCCTTTGGTGATGTGAGGATTTGCCAAATGAAGACTATGTAATTAAACCTTTTATCTCAATTACTTTGTATCTTTGAAAACTCTAGTGCCTAGAAAGCTTAGGAGAAATTASCAGCCTTTAGAATTAAAAATCAGGAAGATTTGGAAAAATATAGAGAAAAATGTGTTGTAATGAGTTTGTAATCCATCTACAAGAATGCAAAAAACAAATTTTTATTTCACTGAAATGAGTTAAGAAAAGAGATCCTAAAACATTTATAATAAACAAAGGGTAGTAAAGGGAAAATCAATTTTTTACTACTCATTAAAGTTCAAAAATAGTTTTAGTGGTATTTATGTATAGTATTACCTTTAGTGAGACCCTGCTTTAATGAGGAAAAAATTTTTTTGAGCTTTAATAAGTTCATTAATGATCCTCATCTTTGTTTACTTTCACCTAAAAGGTCTTTTTAAATGTTTTAACCTTGACTTCTACCATTAAGACTGTCGTGATTAAAACTCTGATTCTTTGAAGAAAAAAAGTCTCCCCATACTCTTTTATAATGCTTATATACCTTGTGATTGCTTATTTAATTTTAGTTGTAGAATATGATAAAGCATGATATGTTTTATTAAAGCCACCAAAGGACCACTTCAGTAAAGTCAGGGGAAAAGAAGTCCAAAATAATGATTTATTTTTCTCCTTTATTTCCCACTTAAGTTAGTTGAGTATACATAGATTGACCAAAGGTGGTTTCTGGTACCTCTTGGATTTTATTTGTTGTTAACACAATATAATTGTATAAACATTGTTAGTAATATTTTTTGATAGCACTATTTGTTACATTTTATATGCCTCTTTTGAAAATTACTTAACCTTCCCAAACATTACTTTCCTCACCTGTATGATGGCAAAAATACTGCTTATAGTATAGGATTATATTGAAGCTATGACTAATACATGTCAAGCACCAAGCTTGGTTGCTGACATTGCTATCAAATATAATAGTACCATTTCTCAGTAAAGTTTTTTAACAAATTATAATAAGGATAGCCTTTACATTTCATTGTTTATGAACTATCCTGTAACCGTTAAAATAACTTAATGATTCTACCTTTCTAGTAAAAATATTAGTTGTTTTGACTTTATCAGTAGTTTCTAATATTTTTTTGTGATTTTTAGGGAAATCGCAAATTATTTAGTTTTAATAGTAGCAAAGGAATCTAAATGTTTTACAGTAGTTTTCAGATTTTATTAATGTTATTGGTGATGGGAAATACTGAGTAAGTTTACTTGTTTTAAAATCTGTACTTTTTTTTTTTCAGGTAGAGTTTATTTTGATTGTAGAACAGTTGAATGTGGACTTGGTYATTTATTTCTATCAGTATGTGTTATAATTTTATTCCCAAAATTTTACTGAATAGTTAATAAAAAATATAAATGGGCTGTTATGAATTCTAATAGAAACAAAATTTTCTTTTCTACTTTTGTTCCAGCAGAAATAGAAAGTAATGAAAAGGACAGCAAACCTGAGGAAGAAGAGCAAGTGATAGATGAAGAAAATGAAAGACCTTCTGAGAAAAGTATGAATATACAAATAAACTTGAACTACTTTGAAAAATAATAATTCATTGTTTCTGATTTTAGAAAAAATGTAATATTATTTTTTTGCCCATGATATGGTTGTAAATTTTTGTAATTTAAGTAAGACATAGTGAATCTATTTTGGTGATGACCAACTCAAGGATCTTTGAATGTATTATTTTATACTTGAATGTAGTATTTACATTTTTAATAGTTCACAAAAAGATTTAAGCGTACAACTTGAGTTAGTATCATTCATTGTTTCAAAAGAAAAGATATAGGCTTACAACTTAAGGTAGTATCTGTGTGTCTTGAGGGAAATTGTTTTAGATTTAAGTTGAGACAATCTAAATAATTAAATAATTTGATGATATTAGTATATTTTTAAGTCTTCATTTTCTTAAGCTTCATGGGAAGGGAAGTGATGGGATGAGGTTTCTAGAAAGATTACTGAGCTAGATATCAGGAAACCTGGGTTCTATAATTCTTCCTGCCATGCTGCTCTCCATGTATGACTCTGGGCAAGTTATTACTATATAATATATAAAGTTATAGAACAGAAATGTATTTTAAAAATAGGCACACTCATTATGGGTATAGAGTAAGGAGGAGAGGCTTTGGATAATCATATAAGAGTATTTGCCTCAAAGGGTGGAATTTTAGTGTTTTCATTTTTTTAGATATTGAAAAATAAATCAACAAAATTTGCTTATGAAATCATGAATGTTAACAGTATTTGAAGTAGGAATTTTCCATGTGAAGATCTTTAATATCTGTTCTTTACAAATGTACCTTTATAATGACATTAATTTTTATATATTTGAAATTCATTAGGATATATTAAAAATAACTATTACAATATTATTTTCCTAAGGCCAATGATTAAGAATTTTTCTTATGTTTACTGAAGAGGATGAATTACATAATTCGAGCTGTTGATAGAATTTGGCACGAGAATGAATACTGTATTTTTCCAGAGAATTCATTTCACTATGAAATATAGCAAAGGGAATAAATGTAAAATGACTTCTACCTTCTTCATGACACAGTTGTTAGGTAGTTTTCCATATTAATATGAAAATTTCAAGGAAAGAGTGTTTTGTGTTTACAGTATCCATGTTTAGTTTATCCATTAGAAAGTTCTTATTTAGCATAGTGAAACTCATTTCAAGTTTAAAGCTAGAAGGTACATACCTGCTTTTCTGATCTCAAAACAATTCATAAAATAATTGGTTGAGAATGCTATTGTGATAAAAACAGTATTTTGCTGCAAATGGAAAAGGCTTTAGTTCTGTAATAAAAACAGTTGACCCATCATTGTGTTTTTGTTCTCAGATGAATGTTCTAGAAGAAAACGTTCTAAGTCAGAGGACATGGACAATGTACAGTCCAAACGTCGTCGATATATTGAAGAAGAATATGAAGCAGAATTTCAAGTAAAGATTACAGCCAAAGGAGACATTAACCAGAAGCTTCAAAAGGTATTGTAAATAATAAACCATATTGAATAAAAAGTACCACTGTCTTTATTCTAAATTTTTTACATTATAGCATTGTGTGTTTTAGTTATACATCCAGTTTATCATAGAAACAGAGAACTTGAAGAAAGTGGTTATGGAGTTTATGATTTTGCTTGATAAATTTAAAATTCCTTCTGACTGACCACATGATTTTTTTAAGAGATGGTAGTGATTATCAAAATGAAAGGTAGATATGATGACATTTCTTTATTTGCTTTTGTAACAAAACTGAATAATGTTCGAGATTTTCTTTTTTCTTCCCATATTGAAATTAATTTTATACTAAAAGGAAACAAGAGTTTTTTGTATTAATATTTTAATCTTTATAATATGCTTGTTTGGTGGTTATAGGTCTATACTTACTAAAATCTTTGTCATGTATGTTAAGATTAATATTAAGAATGGTTGGGAGAGACTGTGGAAAGGGAATATATAAAGATTTTGGAAACCTCCCCCTAGATCTGTTATGACAGAGATAGAAATAATGAAAATATTGAGTACTTTCTGTATTTTTCAAAATATGTTCATAAACCTTTATAACAAGTGCATTTTGTAGAGCGGTGTATGAAATTCAGATGATACTATTTTTCCCAGATCTCTCTCTCTCATATTCATTCATATATATATATATAGTGAAATTATAAATCACAGTTATTCCTCTAAGATACAGTACAAATAACTACACTTTCCAGAAAGAGGCAATGAGAGAAAAGTGATAGTGGTATCTTTGTCTCCAGTTTCTTTTTCTTTGGCCTATATAATAATAATACTAAAGTTAAATGCATGATACATTGTGGAACCAACCCAGATGCCCTTCAGTAGATGAATGGATAGGGAAATTTTGGTGTATATATACACGATGGAACATTACTCAACATTAAAAGAGAATAAAATCATAGCATTCATAGGTAAATGGATGGAGTCAGAGAATATAATGCTAAGTGAAATAAGCCAATCCCCCAAAACCAAAGGCCGGATGTTTTCTTTGATAGGAAGATGCTGACTCATAATGGTAATGGAGGGGTAGCATGGGAGGAATGGAGGAATTTTAAATAGGGCAAAGGGAAGGGAGGGGAAGAATGAGGGCAACAGAATAAGAATGATGGTGGAATAAGTTAGACATCAATACCCTCTGTACATGTATGAACACACTAATGGTGTGAAATACTTACTGTACAATCAGTGAGTTGAAAAATTGTGCTGCATATGTGTAATATAAAATGAATTGCATTGTGCCATTGTGTATAACAAATTAGAATAAATAATAATAAAAAGAACAAATAAAATATTAAAAAAAGATAGATGCACGAAAGAAGTTTAAAAACTTACATGTTCACTGGGAGTTTACTCCTTTAGAATAGTGCTAACTCAGGTATCACAGTGTCCTTTTTGTTGTGGGTCCATAATGATTTAATGTGGGAATTTTGAATACATTTAGCAGAGTTTTATAGAATATGATGTTGAATTATTATTCCTAGTATATATCACAGAAATATCAGTCTGTAACAACTAGAATTTTTTCTTTTTTTTTTTTCCAAAGAGATAATAAGAATTGAACTCAGGCTTTGTGCATGCCTGTTAAGTGCTTTACCACTGAGCTACATCCCCAGCCCTAGACTATACAGTTTTTAAACTGATCTTTAACTAGTTTTCAGTAAGTGGTTTGAGCATGGTAATGGGATATGAGAAGAAAATGCTCAACTTTCATTTTCAAGATTTCACCCTCTAGAAATTTTCTATTTTTAGTATATGCCCCCCCATTAGTTAGATAACTTTATATATATGGAAGTAGAGAATTTCATTAGATAGCATTGATTTTCGGATTTTATTCATTAAATTAGTTAAGCATGTTTTATTCTATTTAGCTAATACATTATTATTAGTACTTTCATTGTTCTGGGCTTGTTGAATTGCCTTTGTGTAACAAAGGAATATGTGTTTCTTTAGGTGATACAATGGTTGCTGGAAGAAAAATTGTGTGCATTACAGTGTGCTGTATTTGATAAGACTTTGGCAGAACTCAAGACACGAGTAGAAAAGATTGAATGTAACAAAAGGCATAAAACAGTTCTTACTGAACTCCAGGTTTGTATGCTGACTTTAATTATATCATCATTTTTATAATTTGTCTTCTGAAATATATATTTGAAGTTGACTATTTTACTCAACTTACATTTGTTCTTTTAAATTCTAAATATAAGAAATAAAAGTAGTCTGTATTACTTTGCTAGGGCTTCTGTGAAAACAGTACCATAAATTGGGTGACTTTATCAACAGTAATGTATAACCTCACATGTAATGTGTAACATTCTATTCTGGAGGATAGAAGTCCTTTCCTCTGGTTTTTGTTGGCTTGCTAACAGTCTTTAATGTTGCTTGTCTTGTGGTGGCATTACCTCAGTCTCTGGCTATATCTTTTCTTGGTAAACATACATCTCTGTATGTTTGTCCAAATTTCTCTCTTTTTAAAGACACCAGTTGTATTAAATAGAGGTCCTCCCCACTTCAGTTAGACTTTATCTTAACTAATTTTCTCTGCAGTGACCCTGAGTTTCTAGAGGTTCAGACTTTAATGTAGGGGGAGTTCCTTTAGTTAAACCATAGTTATCTAACTTGTTTTTTTTTAACTTTTAATTTTTTTGTCATTGAGGAAAGGCTAGCATCTAGCATGCCATAATATATACTAATTATTTGTAGAGTATTCTTTCTATGTTCTGTGTGGATCTTATGTTTTAATGTATTAGTTTACTAATCTATATCCATTAATAATTAATAATTACTACTTTTGGCTTCTGGTAAGTGAAATGAATACATAGTGAAATGCTATAGTAGTTTGTTTCATTCCAAAGCTAAGAAATTAGAAAATTTAATCAGTATATTCATTCTGTCATAAGTAAAAATATGGTTTCTATTATCCTATTTTAAGTGTGAGCATAGTCTAAAGAATTTTGATTTGTAAACCACAGGGCCTTATCTTACAAATGAGGGAGAAGTGATCCCTGAAAGTTAAATCTCTTTTTCAGTTAAAAATCAATCAGAAGTCTCATGGTTGCAGCTAAATATGAGTAAAATTTGGATGTGTTATAGCTTCTAGGCTAAAAGTTATTTCCTTGGTTTCATACTGGATTTTTTGTTTGTTTTGTATAAGACTTTAGTAGTAATAATCTTTATTATTAACTAGTAATGAAGTCTTTGTGATAATTTTGTAATGGATCATTTAGAGCAATAGTCCTGGTCTTTTACCTTTATCAGGTTTTTCTATAGAAATAGTATGATCTAATTATTAAACTCCATTTTGCTTGTTGAGAATTTTGAATTAAAACTGAAAATGTGTGAAGATTTAAAATAATTCTTTGTTTCTCAGAAGTCCCCTGGTTGCAGTTATTTTGTGTTTTTAAAACCTTAGTTTTTAATTTCTTTCTTGTTCATTTAAGATGCAAGTCCAAATCTCTTAACTTAATGTTTTTTTGCACTTCAGTGTTTCTTTGTAGCCTCAGACTCTGAATATTTCCAACACCAAACCATTTTCTCCACAAATGCATTCCCTTTCTCATTGTTCTTCTGGGTGACAGTTTTTTAATTCTTAGAAAAAGTTTGAAGGAACATCTTCCCATTATGGTTCTTATTGGCAGTCCTTCAGTTCTTGGAAGCCAACTCCTCTTTGTCATTTTACGTATACATTGAATTGCCAAATTTCCAGTTTTTATTTCCTAAAAGATCTGTGTCTCTGTTACTATATTTAGGTGTGGCTACTCAACATTCAAAAACCAACACTCGGGTAGATGAAGTTAGTAGGAAAGAAATCAGTTTTATTCAAGGGAATAAGGGAATAATACAAGGGAATAAGGTAGAAGGGCTATTGTTATCATAGTCTATCAAGAACTTAGGGACACAAAGCACTTTCATAGGAAGGGAAAGAAGGAGCAAAGGATAATGGGCAGAAGACTTATATGCATTGAGTCCTACATCCAGGCTCAATCAGTATCTCTGTCATTCAGCGTGTTTTTTTTCATTGTTTTTCTGCCAGAACATCCTTGGGATAGTAATCCACCTTTATCTCCTAGGCTAGTCACTATAATTTAGGACAGGGGAACAAACATTATTTTTCCTCCAAGCTAAACATTATTCTACTTAAAAAAAAAATTGTTTTGTAGTTGTAGGTGGACAGCATGTCTTTATTTTGTTTATTTTTATGTGGTGCTAAGGATCGATCCCAGTGCCTCACAAGTGCTCTGCCACTGAGCTACATACAGCCCCAGCCCACATTATTCCACTTTTAATTAAACAAGATTAACAGTTCATTGGCCCATATTTTGATGTTATCTGAAGACCATTAGATGTTCTTGGTTCTGTAAATCTAGAGTAAATTTACTGATTAATTAAGTTTTAGGATTCATGTCTTTTTAGTACCTTTCCCAGGAATGGCTAACCTTGTAGTTGATCATTAAGATACAAAAAGCATCTTTTGCTGGAGAATAGGGGAGATAGCAAAAAGCAATATTTTTAACCTACTGGATAACTTCAGAGGTGTCACCTACACCCAAGCCAGCAGGAGACAAATAATGTATTGCTGTGTGACCACCAAAATTCACAATTTTTAAAAGTTAACTAAAAGCAAGTGAAAATAGAGGTTTTATTTGGTTTTTCCTTTAGTAAACTGTCATTTTCTATTAGGCCATAAGTAGTAAATTCCTTGATTGATTACTAGTTTTTGAGTTTTGGCTGGTACTTCCAAAACATTATGCTAGTCTTTCTAAAATACTGCTTTCTTCACTTTTTGGTGTCATAATTTTCCTCAATTGTGTACCACTCAATGTAATATTCATTTGGTTTTTAATCTCAATCTCATAGTTTTTGATCCAATTTTCTTAATACTCACCCATTGCTTTACTGTCCTGAGAATGTTAATGTCCATAGAATTTTTATTTCAAGTTTTCAACTTCATAGTTTTTGCTGGGTATGATGGCAAACGGCTGAATCCCAGCAACTCTGGAGGCTGAGGTAGGAGGATCGCAAGTTCAGACTAGCGTCAGCAACTTAGTGAGGCCCTGTGCAACTTAGTGAGACCCTGTCTTAAAATTTAAATAAAATGGGCTGGGATGTAGCTCAGTGGTAAAGCACCCATGGGTTCAATCCCCAGTACCAAAAAGCAAACTCCACTTCATGATTTCCCTTATTCAATCACCCTTAATGATCTGCCCTCACCATGCTATTTTATTAAATGTTAACAAGCTAAATTTAGTTGTCATCTCTTTCTGTGTTTTCATAATATTAAGCTTTTTTATAGAATTAAAATTCATATGATAAAACCCCTATTTCAAAGTGTACAATCATTGGGATATAGTATATTCACATCATTGTATCCATCTCTAGGTCCAAATCATTTTGTCAGCTTACAACAAAACTTTGTGTCCATTAAACAGGTACTTCTCATTTCCCCTGCCCCTAATCTGCTTTCTGCCCCTAAGCACTAATCTGTTTTCTGTCTCTATTGATATATCTATTTTGTATATTTTATATGAGAGAATCATATAGTATGTGACCTTTGTATCTGTCTTCTTTCACTTAGGATAATATTTTCCTAATATAATGTTGCAGTATACATTAGTGTTTTATCCCTTTTTATGACTAAATGATTTCCCATTATATGGAGATATATGTGTACACACACATACACACATAATATTAGCAACTCTGGAAATCAAATTTTTTTCCTCCTTCCTAGGTTTTGTTTTATTTATTATTATGAATTACTGTTTGTTTATTAACTTGTTGAAACTTACTTTCCAACTGCTTAAAAATATGTATTAGTTGTATATGGCCACTGAAGTCTGTATTTCATTATCTTAGGGGTCAGGTGGTATTTTGACAGTTACCCTTCAGTGCTTAGTGGAACCTTAATAACTTCGTTTTTTGAACATGCCTGAAATTTTACTATCAATTTATTTTCAATCTAAAGGCTAGACAAAGGTGAAAGCTTAGAATCCTTTTAGACCTCCACTGAATTCTGCATCCTACTTTGGGCATATGTATGATTTTTTATATTTCCTCTTATATTCAAGAGCTCTTAACCTTTTCCCCCACCCTCTTTCAAAAAGTTATTATCACATATTAATAGTGGATCATTGGAAACATTTTTCACTTACATTGAGAATGAGAAAAGGATTGGTAACATATGTTACTATTTAGAGCTTTATTGGAAGTCTTTGGGCAATGCAATGAGACAGGAAAAAGAAATAAGTAATTTGGTTAAAATAGGAACCTGGTGGAATTAACTTGGTGTAAACTATTGGATGAAGAAGGAAATTTAGAATCTACTTGATATAAGGACAACATAGTTTTCCTATACATTAGTAATAACTGATTTAAAAATATGAGGGAAAGGTTTCACATATAGTAGTTGTTTCATGAAAGTACTTAAACATAAACCTAAAAAAAATTCAAGATTCTGTTGAAGAAAACAGTAAAAGAAAACATGAGTCAGTTGTGATACACCAAGTTCATAGATAGCTAGCAGTGCTTGGTTCTTCGCAAATCAGCATACAAATTCAAAATTTCAACCTGATTTCTTAGGGAAATGGAAAAGCTGTTAATATTTCATTGGTTATGGCTTAGAAAAATATCATTTTAAGTAGTTTTAACTGAAAATAGTTACTTTACTCTTCTTTTTGATCCCTTCCCTGATCAACGAAGTGAACCTAGGTGGCCTAATTAATGCAGGGGACAATTTTGAATAATAGATAACATGTCTGTTTGTTCACTAGCTTTTTAAAAAGTACTGTGTTTTATTATCAGGCCAAACTAAATGCACAATTAACTCTTTTTAGACAGTTGTTTTCTAAAAGGTTGCTTGGTAAAATATGCAAGGAAATTACCATTTATGTGACTCCCAGCAGTTGATGTGCCCTATATTTAAACAACTACCATTGTTTCATTACACAAAAAAAGTATATGTATACCTAAGAAAGAATTCAAGAAAAAATGAAATAGAATTAATAACCAAAGACTATAATATGCTGGGTGCAGTGGTACATACTTATAGTCCCAGCTACTTAGGAGCTTAAGCAGGAGGATCACTAGAGCCCACCCAGGAGATTGATAACAGCCTGGGCTACATATTGAGGATCCCCCAAAAAAACATAAAGTACATAATAATAGAATATTACTTTGCTAAATTTACAAATATGAATTTTTATACATTTTGAAAGTTTCACAGAGTACTTGCCAAAATAGATATCCTAGTCTTAGACACATTGTCAGATATTTTGAATTATAATAATAATAAAAAGGAATTGTTCAGTTTTCTATATAATAACAAACATCTGCCCTTTAATTTCCTTTTTATATTGTCAGAAGACAGTAAATCAGTGTCTATATTTTGATTTTTTTCACTCTACTACCAATAATATTTTCTAATAGTTTTTTAAATAATTTGAATACTACAGATACAGATACATTTAAGAATGTGAGTACATATTACATATATGAAAGCAAAGTCTTTCTCTTTACCTTCTCCCCCACTTTCTTCCATTTGTGGCTTATAGAGGTAACCACTTTTAACTTTGGCATGTTTTTCTATACTTTTTCCATCTATGTGACATATATAAATGATTTGCTTTCATGTTTTAGTAAAAATAGAATAATAATAGTTTACATACTATAGTTTATGGAATGTCCACTCAGATAACCTGACTAAAGAAAAAAAAATGAAAGCTATTTTGCATAAGTTGGGGTAAATACCTTCCAACATATATGCTTAGAAAAAAATTACTTGAAATATTTTAAGAAATATTTAGAAAGGCAAATCCACATTAAGGATATGAAATCAGACAGCATGTTCCTAGCTTTAATAATATTCATAAATAAGTCCTGAAGAGAGACACCTTTGAGAGTCAGGGATAATTAATTGTCTAGACCTTATTTGTAGACTATAAGTGACTACTACTTTTTGAAAGAAACCTTTAAAGTAAATAGCACTGTTTAATGATACGAATAAAATATTGGATAAAAAAATTCTTATACAGCCCTCATGATCCTAGAAGTTAATTTTAATATTCTTGAAAGTGTCTTGAGTATAAAATGCCAGCATTAGCAGCAACAGCAAAAACAGATGCAAATGAATACCACATCTATGTCTTAGTGAAAGGCTGAAAGGAATTACTCCCAAATATTCATGTGGTGATATAACTGATCAACCAACCTACCCACCCATCTTCCTTCCTTCCTTCCTCTCATGCTCCCTTCCTTCCTCCCTTTCTTTCTTTTTCTGTTTCATGCCCTGCCCCCCCCCCCATATTTCTTTTGGATATATATTTGGGAAAAATATGTAATAAGGCAATTTTATAAGCAGAACAAACAATAATTAATGTTAATACTAACAAGTTAACATCATCAGATTTTTAAACATTAATAGAATGTAAATTGTTTCCAAGAGCAAATATGAGCCCTCATCTAAACTGCTATTGAAAGTATCAATTAATAAAGCCTTTCTAAAAAACATTTAGACAAAATTCTTAAGAATATATTCTAGCCCCTCCAATTCCACTTTTGTATGTTCTAAAGAAATAGTCTGAAGTGAGAATGAAATTATTAGTGTATTTGATAATGACAGAACATTGAGAAACCTTCAACCTACCCAGTGGAAAAGAGCATGTGATTCAGTACACTGTACATATATCCAAGTAGTTTTGGCAAGGGATCTTTTATGACTCACATATATGCCCAGAATGTCATTCTCAGTAAGTAAATTGCATATGGTTGCAACTGTGTTGAAAAATAACACAAAACACAAGGTTTCCTGTTTGGAAACATACTGGTGTGTGAGCAAACACCCCTAGTTCTGAGAGTAAACCAATTAATCTTCTAATGAAGAGTATTTGCATCTGGTTCAGGGTTCACTAGTTTTCATATAATTATCTGTATTTTTCAAGTATGTATTTTACAATCAGCTTGCTTTACTTTGCTCTTAACTGTCTTATTGAGGTTCCTGTTATCTGTGGGTTTTGTTTTTTTGTTGTTATTGTTGTATATGCATGGGTTCTTTTTTATGGCATATTGCCACTTGATTTCTTTTTATTTTTGTTTTCTTTCAGGCCAAGATAGCCAGGTTAACCAAACGCTTTGGAGCAGCCAAAGAAGATCTTAAGAAAAGACAAGAAGTAAGAGTTTCATTCTTGCATAAATACTGCTTAGCTCCAAGTGGTAATCTCAGGAAATGCTAAGTTGGGATGAAACTTTTTCTTTTCTACCAGTATTAAATTTGTTTTTAAGGTATACATTATGTTATTTCTGAAGCTGAAGCTCTAATACTAATAAACTCTTTCAATATTGTGATATGTCAAATTTTATGTTAATTTGTCCGATGATATAGCATTCTTAAAGCTGTATTTTCTATTGTTAAAATTACTTTGCCTTTTTTAAACATTCTTGTTTTAGTTTTTTTTATCATTTTTCCTGAAGTATTTTAGTATTCCACTTCCTCTAGTAACTCTTCTCTTCTTATCTTCCCCTTGTAGTCATCTGTTATATTATTATTGTAAAATATTGAGTCATTTTGTTGCCATAAACACTTTGAATATTTTTTTGAGTAGACAGTTAAGTCTAAACATCATTAGCATAGTATTTGTCCACTATAGTGTGGCTTTTACTTTTTGTTGTTTTCTTAATATCATTTATTTATTATTCCATTTTCTTTATTATTCACTTTTTTGGGGGGCGGTACCAGGGATTGAACTCAGGGTCACCTGACCACTGAGCCACATCCCCAATCCTATTTTTTATATTTTTATTTAGAGACAGGGTCTCATTGAGTTGCTTCGTGCCTCATATTTTGCTGAGGCTGGCTTTGAACTCTCTGTCCTCCAGCCTCAGCCTCCCAAGCCACTGGAATTACAGGTGAATGCCACCGTGCCTGGCTAGTTCTTTTGATCTTTATTTTAAAAAACCCAACTCTTATTTTGATTGACTTTTTCTATTCTCTATTTCATATACTTCTGCACATTTCATTTAATTCTACTTAATCTTCATTCTTTATTTCCTGCTTCTAATTATTGTTCTTCCAATTCTTTGAAGTGTTAGGTTGATTTTTTTTTTTTTTTTAATCTGAGATACTTCTTCTATTTACTGCTGTTCCCTTCCCTGCTTTCACTTCACAAACTTTGTTCTGTTATGTTTTCACTTGTCTCAAGATATTTTTACTTCATCATGATTTCTTCTTTTACCTGTTGGGTTTTCAAAGAATGTGTTTAATTTACATGTATTTGTGACTTTCCTATTGGCCTTCTGCTGTTGATGACAGGTTTTATCCCATTGTGACCAGAATAGATTTTTAGCATGATTTCATTCTTCTTAAGTTTGTTTAGATTTGTTTTGTGACTGTTAACATGTTCTTAAGAATGTTCCGTGTGCATTTAAGAAGAATGTGTTTTCTGTTGTTGTAAGATATAGTGTTCTGTATGTGTTCATTAGGTCCAGTTGTTCACTAGTATATTAAGTCCTATTACCTTATTAGTTTTTTTGTTTAGATGTTATATACCTCATTAAAATTTCCACTATTACTATGTGGCCATCTACTTTCAGTTCTTTCAGTGTTTGATGTTATTTGAGGGCTCTGATGTTAGGAGCATATATACTTAAATGATTGTTTTACCTGATGAATTGACCCTTTTATCATTATATAATGATTTTTGTTACCTGTTTTGACAGTGCTGACTTAAAGTGTTAAGTTCAGCCACCCTATTTTCATTACCAGTTGCACAAAATAATTGTTTCTTCTGTTTTCACTTTCATCCTTGTATATGTCCTTAGGTTTAAAGTGAGTCTTCTGTAGACAGCATACGGTTGGATAAAAATCTGTATTTTATATTTTAAGCCATCCTGATGTCTTTTGATTTAAGGTGTTTTATCCATTTGCATTTAAAGCATTTATTGTCTGTCTGCATTAATGTAACCTCTTTCAGGCCATAGGCAAGCTGAGGTCYTTGCCAATAGTCTTTGAGGTACCAGGGCAGCAATTGTACCACAGCCACACTCTGCATTCCAAGTCAGGTTTCTGCATGGGCTAAATAAAAACATGTGCCTTAAGCATCCTGTCAATTAGTTGGATGTAAGTTCCACCCTTCTCCTTCCTTCTTGATGGAGAAGCCTTGATTGTGCTGTTCTGTGCTGTGCTGTGTGGGAGGTTGTTGGGATATAGTAGGTAAATGCAGTATACTTTGTTACTCTTTTCAATTTACCTCCTTTTGGCCTTGTATTTGCCTAGGGTGCTTTAATGTGTCTACTCATTTCTAGAATTCTCACAAAGGCATTCTGATCTTCACATTGTTAAGTAATTGTCTCCATTAAGGAAGGAGGGCCTGGGGATTTTTATTCTATCATCTTGCTAATCCCACAACTCCACAATATGACCCCTTTCCATATTCTAAACCAGTTGTTTATTCTCTGCTTTCGCTCTTCTTTTTCCTGTTTTTCTCTTAACATTTTTTTTCCTTTATCTTAACCTTTTGGGAATATAGTAATTATTCAAAGACCTGTTTGAAGATGCATTCTTTTCTCCCAGAACTTTAATTTTTAAAAAAATTCCTTTGGTATTAATCTGTTTTTTAAATTTGCTTTTCTATTTGTTTCATGTGTATTTATCTTAACAGCCAAATTTAATTACCTTTATAGAAAAGATTGTATTAATTCTTTTGCCTTCTACACAAACCTAATGCAATACTATACTTGTAGGTTAAAATTACTCTTTAACATACACAAAATAGTAAAATGTATTTGTTGTTGTGAAGAGTGCTTAATGGCATAGTCTCTATGTATTCTCAGAACTTAGTTACATTTAGTTTAATATGTTATTTTTATACTCCATTTAGTTTGAGTGAAGTTATTTATTATTCTCATTTTAAGAAGTAAATGATGATATACTATCATTAATGATGGAGGCCTAAATAATTGTAATCAATATGTAAGTATTCAAATTCCATTTGTATATTTCTTGGTTTGCGGAGGAAGAGTCTGAAATATTTTTTACTGTTGTGTCAACTTTTTATGAAATTATTGAAATTTTGTACTGGCAAGTAGTACTTAAAATGAAATTTTAAAAATAAATTTGATTTGGAAATTTTTGATTTTTTGAGAACTTGGACACCATTTTATTGAATTTCTGGTTCTGATGTGATGCCTGTATGGACCATTTTCACATTTTTATGTTTTATATAATTGTCACAAGAACACCAAGGTATAGGAATTATTATATTAGTCTTTCAAATGATAAGCAGTTGTCTTTAATGAAGAAAAAGATTTGATTAAGAATTAGGAAACCAGTGGCAACACCAAAATCCAAATTCTTGTCTAAACTAGTAATGTTTCCCACATTATACAAGAAACAGGTCATATGTTGAGAAAGCATTTAAAAAATCTTATTTTTAAAGATATTTTCTTTATCTCTAGTCTTATTTTTGCTTTGGTATTTTCCCCCCAGAATCCACCAAACCCACCTGTATCACCAGGAAAGTCTGCAAGTGATGTCAATAGCAATAATAACATACCCTACAGGTGAGAACTATAGTCTATTTATCTAGTTTTTAAATAACAGAGCAAGGTTCTGATTTTCTTTCTTTGGTAGAAAAATATTTGAATGTAAGCATATGTATTTATGTAGAGATAAATATTGAATAATAATATTTTCTTTTTCCTGCTTTGTTACATTGTTCATCTGGAGATATAACTTTTGCTAGAAGGCTTTCTTTTATCACTGCACACTTTTTTTCATTGCACATTTTTATTGGTTTATTACAGTTGTACATTTGTACATGTACACATGTCACTATATATTTCTTCAACCACATGCCATTAGTAGTATTCTCAAGTAATTGAAATGCTTTGATCAGGGGTGAGATAGAGTAATGTGTCTGTCTCTCTGTCTCTCTACATATACTTGTGTGTGTGTGTGTGTGTGTGTGTGTGTGTGTGTGTGTGTGTGTGTTTATTAGAACTTACATTTAGTCTTCAGGTTAAGTATTGATGATATTAGAAATAAGAGAAAGATTCTTCTCTAATACACAGACCCCAGTATTTAGAAGTACACATGCCAGCTGTACCTGGGTGTGTTTGCTTGTGGTTTAGGTTGCAAAACCCAAATCTTGGCACACGTTTCCCTAACTGGCCAATGCTTTTTTTCTATGCATCAAGTGGTTTCCCCTAGAATGGTATATCCATTGACTATTTATATGTTTTTATAAATTTCATAGAAATGCAGGCACGGTGAGACAGATGCTGGAGTCCAAAAGAAATGTAAGCGAGAGTACACCATCAACCTTTCAAACTCCTGTAAATACAGGTAACATTTTAACACCAAAAACATTTTCTTACAAATGAAAGTCTTTGGTTCTCTTTTCTTAGATTTTTTTTCTCATTTATAAACTTTGTTTTTCTCTTTCCACATTTTTTAGTATTATAGTTGTGCCTACTGATGAGATTTATTGTTATATTTTCATACACTCACACAATATAACAATATAATTTGGCCATTATCACTCCTAGCGCTTCCTCTTCCCTTCCTACCCCTTACACTCTGATCCCTTTCTTCTACTGATCTCCTTTTGATTTTCATGAAATTTTCATGAAATTATCTTGCCTCCCACCTCTCTCTTCCTTTTTCCTCTCTAGCTTTCACACATCAGAGAGAACATTTTGCTTAACATAATGGCTTCTAGTTCCATCCATTTTCCTGCAAATAACATAATTTCATTTTTCTTTATGGCTGTATTCAACTTCTTTGTGTATATATATACATATACATTTTTTCTTACCCATTCATCCATTGTTGGGTACCTAGGCTGGTTCCATATTTTGGATCCTGGTCCCTTTCTTCTGCTCATCTCCTCTTGATTTTCAAGAGATCCCCATCCCCTACCTTTATTTTCCTTTTTCCTATTTAGCTTCCATATTTGAGGAAAAAACATATGACCCTTGACATTCTGAGTTTGGCTTATTCTTACATTCTTTTGAGGTTGAAATGAACTAGAAAAAGGGTGACATTGGTCTAAGTACAAAATATTACTGAAAATTAAGGATAATAAATAAATATACATAAAAATATAGATATATACATTTCTAACGAAGTACATTCCAAACTTTCTGGTCTCTACATCCCTTTGTAAGCTTAAAAAAATTACTAAGAACTCCAAAGAACTTTTGTTCACTTAATAATCTCAATTGAAATTAAAACCTTCTTAAAACTATTTATTGAGGATTTTTTTTTAGTGAAAATAAATTTTAACAGTCAAAAGAGTATTATTGCCTTTCATTTTAATGTTTTGCTTAACATATTAAGCCAGCTGAAGATATCTGGATTCTTATGTCTACATCTGCTTATAATCTATTTCAGTATGTTGATTTGGCTGATGTATATGGAGGATATTCAGCTCATACAAATATGAAGATGGAAAAGGCTGGCCCTTTTTAAAAAATTATTTCTTGGTGCAGTATAATTATGGTATACTTTGTTATATATTTATGCATGCAGATAGGGTTGGCTCTTTTAGATAACTTCTTTTTTTGACACTGTCAAGTGGTAGTTTTCTTTAAGGTTGGTGCATACTGGAATCAGAAACATGTTAATGAACTCTTCTAACTTACTATTTTTTTTTTCTGAGTTATTCTTTCAAGTAAAAATGGTTTTCCATGAAAAGGACTGCTAATTTAGCCTACTTCTCAATTACCCAAGTATTTTTTCTTGAGTCATGCATTCCATTTTGGCCTGCAGCAGTATTATTTTATGTGTACTATTATTTTTTCACACAAAATATTAAGAACTCTAGTTCAAAGATTGAATATAATAAAATAATTTTCACTATTATGGATATACCTAAGTAAAACTGACTTTTTTCCCTCTTCTTTTTTTACTGTAAACATTTAATAATGAAAAATATAGTGACATTTTGGTAACACTGTATTACTTTGATTTTTATGTAGTGGTTTTCCTGATCCGTGGTTTTATTTACCATGGTTTTCTGGTATCTATGATCTATAAATATTAAATTCCAAGAATAATTTCTAATTTTTACTGTAGTGTCTGTTTTTTTATTTGACTGTTGTGAATCTCTTACTATACCTAATTTATAAATGAAACTGTATCATAGGAATATTTATTTAGTTATGAATGATATAAAAACATTTTATCAATGCTGGACTGCATAAGATAGTTGTTCCATAAGATTATAATGGAGTTCAATAATTTTTATTACCATTTCAACATTACTTATTATTCCTGAGTTTATGGTGATGCTAGTGTAAACAAAGCAACAATACTATAAGTTGTATAAAAGTATATAGCACATAGAATTGCATATAATATATCATACTTGGTAATGATAATAAATAACTGTTATTGGTTTATGTATTTTTTGGGCTATACCTTTTGTTGTTATTTTAGAGTACATTTCTTCTTTTAAATAGTTTACTATAAAACAATATTCTGTGTTATGCTAGTAGTAGACTAATATAATTCATGTTTGCTATGTCTCATGATTTGCATCTAAGGACCATGTTGAATAATTGAACTAACATCTAGGTTTCTGTAAATACACTTACACAGCAGTGAAATCACCTAAGGATATGTCTCTCAGAATATATCCCTGTTGTTATGTAACACATGATTGTATGCAAGAAGATATGGTATATATAGGGTTTGTTACTGGGAATCTTGGAACATTTCTCTAACAGATAAGGAAAACTAGAATTGCATCAGCATTTCTATTCACCATCTTTTGTTTTATCAGTACAAATGTCCATAAAGTGAAAAACTCAATGTTTCATTTTTATTATGACAAGAGTTTTGACATTGCAAAATTCCTTAAACAATCTCAGAAACCTCATGTCCCCCTGGACCATACTCTTGAGAATTATTGCTCTAGTGTACCTGTGATTTTGGAAAACTAGAAACTGATCAGAAATATATTTAGTTATGTACTTCAAACCTGTTCCAATTAGATTAAAAACAAGTACCAAAATTACTATAATCTCTAATGACCAGATTTTCTCTACTGTTTCTTAATTCACTACATTCTCCACTCAGTGCTATTTTCTGTATCAATTAATCTCAGTAGAGTGCCAGTAGAGGGATTCTCCTCTGATGTGTTTCTTTCCTAGGGAATTTAAAATATATATACAGGTTTTACATGATTCAAATTATAAAATATGGACCAGGTTTACCTGTTACTTATTAATGGTCATGGTTCTTTCTAAATTTCCTATTTATTTTTTTATATTGCTGCTGTTATAAGGCATTTTTAATATTTTTAGTGTAGTTTCAAAAATATCTGTATATTTTTACTTCGTTTTCAGGGTTCTTTAGTTGTTTTTTTCTAATTAGGTACCCTGATGTGAACCTTGACCTTCTGAGTTTGGCTCATTTTGCTTAACATAATGCTCTCAAGTTCCATCCATTTTTCTGCAAATGACATAATTTTGTTTTTCTTTATGGCTGAGTAAATTCCATCGTCTATACTTAACAATATTTTCTTTATTGATTCTTCTATTGATGAACACCTAAGTTGGTTCCATACTTGGGCTATTATGAATTTTGCTGCTATAAAAATGTATCACTGTAGTTTGATGACTTCAATTCTTCAGGATTAAATACTAAGGAGTGGTATAGCTTGGTCATATGGTAATTGTATTCCTAGTCTTTTGAGGAGCCTCCATACTGGTTTCCATAGGTTGTACTAATTTACAGTCTTATCAACACTGTAAAAATGTTCTTTTTTCTCTACATCCTCTCTAGCATTCATTATTGTTTATATTCTTGATGGCTGACATTTTGACTGGAGTGAGATAAAATCTCTGTGTAGTTTTAATTCACACTTCCCTAGTTTCTAATGATGTTGAAATTTTTAAATATATTTGTTGGCTATTTGTATTCTTTCTTTTGAGAGATGTCTTTTTAGTTCATTTTTCCATTTATTAATTGGGTTATTTGGGCTTTTTTTGGTGTTTTAAATTTTTTGAGTTCTTAATATATTTTGGATATTAATCCTCTGTCGGGTGAATAGCTAGCAGATTTTCTCCCATTTTGTAGGTTCTCTCCACATTTTTTTTTTTTCCTTTTTTTCCAAAACTTTTAAATTCAATGCCATCCCACTTATTAACTCCTGGCATTATTTCCTGAGCTTTAGGAGGCTTAATGAGAAAGCTGTTGCCTATGTCTATGTTGGAGTGTTGACACTACATTTAAATAATGTTTTGATACCGAGTCCTCTATGAATATTACGTGTTGTTTTTTATAATATACTAATTATATATATATATATAAAATATTTCAAAAAGTTAATTTTAAGAATTTCCAGAATTGAAATCTAGATAATTTTTTACTATGAAAGACTTTACTCCATGCCATACAATGTATTGAATTTGTAACTGATAAATTAAGATGGCTATTTAAACTAATACTTCTGTTTTCTTTCTGTAGTGTCTTCAACCAATCTTGTCACTCCTCCAGCAGTTGTCAGTAGTCAACCTAAGCTGCAGACTCCAGTGACCTCAGGTTCTCTGACAGCAGCATCAGTTCTTCCTGCACCCAATACAGCTACAGTAGTTGCTACTACTCAGGTGCCTAATGGAAATCCTCAACCTACAATCTCTATACAACCTTTGCCAGTGATTTTGCATGTACCTGTTGCAGTATCCTCCCAGCCTCAGCTTCTACAGAGCCATCCAGGGACTTTAGTGACCAACCAACCATCCGGCAACGTTGAATTCATTTCTGTGCAAAGCCCTTCTACAGTGAGTGGTCTTACCAAAAATCCAGTATCCTTGCCATCCTTGCCAAATCCCACTAAACCAAACAATGGTCCTTCTGTGCCCAGTCCTAGTATTCAAAGGAACTCTCCTGCCAGTGCTGCACCATTAGGAACAACACTTGCTGTACAGGCTGTTCCCACAGCACACTCTATCGTACAAGCCACAAGGACTTCTTTACCTACAGTAGGCCCAYCAGGACTCTATAGTCCATCAAATAATCGTGGTCCTATACAGATGAAAATTCCAATTTCTGCTTTTAGTACGTCATCTTCTACAGAACAAAACAGCACTACCACCCCAAGGATTGGTAAGTCACTCTGTTGTTTAGTAAAAGAAATGTAAGAATGTTAATGGCCTTTAGATGACTAAACTTTTTGTTGTTGTTGTTAATTGGTAACATTTTTACCAAAACTTAAATACCAAAAAAAAAAAAAAAAAAAAAACCCAGATAACATTGTTAGAAGAGCAGATTAAATAGAATTTCGCTGAGATTGTTTTTAGTAATTTTCTAGATACCTCCAGGAGAAATGATATTATAAAAGTGGGTGTTGGGAGGGGGTTATTTTTATTGAGGTACAATATTTGTTCATTTTTATGAAATGCAGTGTGATAGTTTGATACATGTACACAGTGTATGATGAATTAGGGTAGTATGCATTCTATCTCTTTAAACGTTAGTTTTTATGTGTTGGGAATGTTGTACTCTTCTAGTCATTTTGAGGTAGTATGCATTCTATCTCTTTAAACGTTAGTTGTTTTTATGCGTTGGGAATGTTGTACTCTTCTAGTCATTTTGAGATACATCATAGATAGTCTATAATATCTCAAAATGACTAGAAGAGTACAACATTCCCAACACATAAAAACAACTAACGTTTAAAGGGATAGAATGCATACTACCCTAAATTATTGGTTAAAACTATCAGAAATAATATCTCCTATCTGTGTTTTGGTGTCCTTTATTGAACTTCTTTCCTTCCTTCCTTTCCTTTTTCTCCCCAGTCTGAGAATGGGGTTATTTTGAATAAGAAGTTAGAATTTATATTTTAGTAAGTTTTTAATTTAGGCTTTGTAACAAGCACTGTGAAGTGCTTTTATAATACTTTTGTTAGTAAGTTTCTTATTGACATCTGCTTGGGATAGAACAATAAAAAATGTATCCCTGCCCATTTGGGAAAATTCTTTGTGCATTTTATCACTCACTGTATCCAAATTTGAACAATTTAAAAATAGGTTCTTCCTTCTTCATATACTACATAATGTTCGATTCCTTTTTGTTTTTCTTTTTCCATAAGACACATAATTACGTTTGTATTTTACTTAGAAATATTGCAAAAAAAGAACTTCATGGTACCTGTATTTTTTTTCTTTTTGCAAAACTCTGTGTCTTTGTTTCTAGAAAGCATACGGTTTGTATGCATTCTCAGACTTGCTTTTCATTTCTGACTTTACATTTATCCCCACTACTTTTGGAAAGATAAGCAAGAATGAGTAGACATCAACAAGTAGACACCTATGTTTGTGAGATTAAAAAAGATGTTTACTTTCAGTTGAGGTCAGGAGACCTCAGATTTTGGGGTAAAAATTTTTAGTATTTTTAATGTAATGTATAATTTATGATGAACATTATTTATATAATTTTAGAATTTATCTTCTTTATGAAATTTTGAGGCAAAGTTGACGTTATTGATTCATGGTCACTAGATGAGATATTTTTCTTAATATAGAACTTTTCCTGGAAGATCATGGCCAGTAAGAAAAAAAAAAAAAACTTAGAAAAGTACTTTGCTAGAGCTATGTTTGGAACCTAAACACTTCTATAGTATCAGAATTATATTTATTATTCTGTTCTCTCAAAATTTTATGAACATTTGGTAGACAAAAAGGGTAAATGCCAAAATTATGTAGCTGATATACTCTATTAGGAGTAATGTGTCTGTTTCTGATTTATTTTACTTATGTTAATTTTTTGCATATGAAATTTATAGTTTTTATGTCATTGGTCCATCATACTTTTGAGATTAATTTACATTTATACTTAAACATAAATTTTTATATTTTAGCACATGTATTTACTTATGTACACTTTGTGTATAAACTCTATTAAGGAGATTTTTATTTCAAGTTCTGTTTAACTATAAATAAAATGAATTGCTAGATATTAACTATAAATAAACGTGAGTGCCGACTTTATGTTATTTTCATAATGTTAATTAGAAAATGATCCTGTAAGATGACTGGGGGTGTATCTCAGTAGTAAAGTGTTCACATAGCATTCACAAGTGTTTAGTTTGGTCCCTAGCAACACCAAAAAAAAAAAAAAAAAAACCACCAACAAAAAAAACCTATAAGACGATGTATTTTTTGATCATGCCTCCCTAATTTCAGAGGTGCCAGAAATCACACTAAAGTAATCATTTGGGCTTCCTGAAACTGACACTGAAGCCTAATAGCAATTTTTTGCTAAATATAAAAATCAAGTCCAAGCTTTATATCCCTATTGTGATAAATCAGTTAGGTTTTATAATTGAAACTTTGTAAGTCCCTTACTTATGTAGATATTATTTACTTGCCTGATAAAAACATATGGTATATTATTATGTATACATTTGTATATATCTCATTATACTTTATTATATCCTTATGGATTTAAAGTCAGTATTTTCTGTTTATAGTAAAGTCCATTAGGAGCTATCTGGAAACTTAGGGCTCAAATTAAAGTTAATTTTCATTCATCGATGAAATGCTAGATGTCTGTATTGTTCCAAGGCCCTGCAGATACACAGAAATGTACAAAATAATCCCTCTTCTCACCAAACTTAGTCTAGAGGGAACCTGGCCATTAAATAAGTATTTAATTATGAATGTAATGAGTGTATTTTAACTCCATTTTCTTTGAGAAGACATAAGAGAACATGGGAGATCTGGAAAGCTATGAGATAATGAACAGACTAATGGGGAAAATGAAGTTCAAGGGTTTTTATAGCATGGTATGACAAGTGGAGAATGGTTTAGAGGGGATAATAATAGAATTAGTAGGAAAATCAATTTGGAGGCTCTTGTAGTGAACTAGATGTGAAAGGTGTATTATTAAAAAACAAAAAGATTTAAAAGCTATTCAAGTTAGAATTGTCAGGCATAACTTATAAATTATTGATAAAAGATTTGATGGTGAGAAATGTTACACTCAGAGATGACTTTGGTTTCTAAGACTGTTACATATTAGTGCCATTTAATAAGCTATAGACATTAAAGAAAGTTGATTTGGAGAATTATCTAGTAAAATAGAATTCATTTATAATTTTCAGATTTTACTAAACATTTCTTATTCTAAGAGTATAAGAAAACTAAAGTTTAAATAAAATAAAAGACAATCACTTTTTCAACTCTAATTGTTTTAGTTTCTTCCAGGACCGAGTTAAATGTTTGAAGATTTTGCCTTCTATTTGTGTTCATACAACAATTATATAGACTTACTCAGGGAATACTGCCAGTATACACCTTTGTAAAGTACTTTTATGACTGTGGTAAAAATGCAATGTTGGTTAAAAGTGACCAATGGTTACATGAAATATTTTTTAAGATAAATATTGAAAGGGTTTTATTTATTTTTTAAATGTGGTGCTGAGGATCAAACTCAGTGCCTCACACATGCTAGGCAAATGCTCTGCCACTGAACCACAACCCCAGCTCTAAAAATATGAAAGGATTTTAAGCTACAATTTTATTTCAAACCCTGACCAGTTTTGTTGATTGATAAATTGATTTATTATAACTTTTTACTTTCAGAGGTCATCTAAGAAAGATATTGTAGTGGGAAAAAAGTAAAAAAGATACAGTGAAACTGTAAAGTGATACATTAAAGGTCAAGGGGGAAAGTCAGTAATAAAGGGATGGGGAATATTAATTGAGAATGTAGAATAAGGAATATTATTGTAATTCTGTGAATAATTAACTTATTGCCCTAAAACAGTGAAGTCCAAGAGAGAATCAGTCTGGGTAATGAACCATAGTTATTGTTTTAAAAAAGTGTTTGTATGTAACATTTTTTAAAGCAATCTGAACTTTGAGGAATTTTTATATGAATTATAACAGAAAATATAATTCACTCATTTAAAATTTTTGTAAAGTTACCTTTTATTTTGTTTTGAAAATGGAAGTGCATTTCAATTCCAACTGAACATATTTTAACATAGTATATTAACAAATTAATGTTTTGATAATGTTACCAGCATATCTTAATATTCAGGCATGTAGGATGAGTAACCTAAAATTAGTTTTATGTTAAATAGTCTTTCAGAAACTTCACAGTCTAAAACAGATACTCATTCATATTAAATTGTTTTTAACAATAAGTACCATATTAATATATTCTTTCTATAAAAATAAGTTAAATAATTTAGATAGGGTAGGAAAAAATTGTAAGGGCTTTGTTTTTACTTTTTACCCTCTTTTTATGAGCAAATATGATAAAATTTAATACCTTCTTCCACCCCCTTCAGAAATTAAGGCAAAAACTTACTTGGTTTATTTTTTATTGTTGTTCTGTAAGTAATTTTCATACACAACATTTTTTTTTCCACCAAAACTCCATATAAGCTAGTTGAAAAACAAATAACTGAAAAGTAATCTGTTATAGAACTGAGAAATGTGTAGGTATAATCACTTAAACTTACTCTATTGAATTTATTTTTAGTATTTTTGACATATCATAAAAGTTTTTCCTCCATAAGACAATAGTATAAACTATATTTTAACATATTCCTCATGTTAGAACATTTAAGTCATGTATATCTTTTTCCAAGGTATTCCTTAGGATAAAGTTTAAATTGATGGGTTGGGCTGGGGATGTGGCTCAAGCGGTGGCGCGCTCGCCTGGCATGCGTGCGGCCCGGGTTTGATCCTCAGCACCACATACAAACAGGGATGTTGTATCCGCCGAAAACTAAAAAATAAATATTATATTAAAAATAAATGAATAAATAAACTGATGGGTCAATGGTCAATGAGTAGATGTCTTTTTTTAAAAATCTGTATTATGAATTTTTCCTTTTTCTGAAAAAATACTGTATCACTGATCTCTCAAATGATCTATTTATCTGGCATGTTTACAAAAAATAGTTGGAGAAAATTTCATGAATTATTGTATTTAAAGCAATGTAAACTTTTGCATATCATAGATATTTTAAAAAATTGTCCTTTTTCTTTCTTCTCAGAAAACCAAACCAACAAAACAGTAGATGCTTCTGTTAATAAAAAAGCTGCTGATAGCACATCACAGGTAAGATTTTTTCCTTCTACTTCAAAGTAAAATTCTAATTTCACAGGAGAGTGGAATTTCCATCAATATTCTCTGATATAAAAGAAAACTAATCTTAAGTCTGGTTTTTACAACTGTCCAAATATTTTTTTCACAGTTTTTCTGTAATGTTTAATAAAGAGTTGAGTTTCTTTGCTTAGCAATTCTCTAAGAAATAATATTAATCTATTAATCTATAATATTAATCTGTAACTGGTTGGATTATACATTTGAAAGTCAAGTTTATTTGCCTTTATATGCTGTAAAGATTCAGTCTGCACCACATGTATTATTCTAGGCTCTTCTTTTTGAGAGGATCTTAGCTGACTTATCCTCAACCTGTACTACTCTTCCCCACTCACTCCCTTTTCACCACCATTGTGATTTCTTTAAAGTAATCTTTTGGGGGAAGAAAGTCTCTTTTGTCTTTCAGATAGCTTTTTTCCATGTTAAATCTTAATTTCTCAGCAGTGGAGTAACTACTTCTTTCTTGTATTAATAGTGTTGTTCCCAATTCTTCTATATTACTGTAGGTGTAATGAATTTATAGTGGAGTTATTAGGTTGTTGATAGATTGTCTATAGGTTGTTGATAGTCATGAAGTTGTTTATTTTCTTCCTTTTAATCATTTCAAGAAAGTCATATTATTCCTGGTCTTGAGTATCAGACACAAGTATATTATAAGAATTTTAAAACAAGGTTATAGTGATCTTTAATTATGAGTATCCTCCTTTAAAATGATGAATTTTTGACTCAAGTTAAATATGCACAAGTGTTCACAGATCACATTAAAACTTTAAAAAGATTTTATTTCTTATGAACTTTAGCAATCTCTGATTTTGAAGATCAAAGTGTTGTCAAATCGCATGAGGTGTTAATAAATTCATAATGGTTAATGAATACTTTCTAGAAGACATGTAGTATAGAAAATGAGAGAGTATTATTAGAAAATTATTAATCATTAACATGACTTTCCAAGGGCCACATTCCTGGTAGCTGACCAAGCTTCAGTTATGGTTGTAGGTTCCTTTAGAGAGATGTACAGGTGGTAAGCAACTAGATCTTTTGTGTTAGTTCTTTCTTCCTAATTGCTAAAGTGCCCTGCTCTCTAGTCTTTCAGATATGTTCTTTATTTTGTATTTATTACCACAATTTTTTAAAAAAAGCCAATATCTGTGCTCTCATTTTTTTTTAAGTGTTGACCTTATAAGACTGACACATTATTAGCTAACTTTTTAGTTCTGAGTGGTAAAAATAATTGATAAAATCAATATTTGATGGCTTCAAACTAGAAGGTTCAGTAATGTAAGGATAGATATAAACATGGTGTCTTTTTTAGATATTTCACCTATAAAATGGAACTAATGTTACTACTTCATAGGTTTAAATATGCTAATAAATATAAGTAGAGACTATAAATATTAGAAATAAATGTTTAATAACTATAGAAAGAATTACCAATTGTATTTCTCAGAAAGAGAATCTAGCCAGCAAACTCTCTGTAGTGCATATTTATCAGTCATATTGTGAGCAGTAAAAAATATAGTTTGATAACTTAGATCATTAATTATAGATCTTTTTTTCTTATCCTATAGAAGATTTTAATGATGTAAGATTTTCTCTGAACACTTCTTTAGCTGCATTTCATAAATTTTTATAATGTCCCAATTTCATATCATTTATTTTCTTGTTATTTCTTTTTGGATCCTAGGTTGCTTAGCCTGTTTTTAAATTCCATGGTATTTGGAGATTTTGAAAGTATCTTTTGGCTGATTTCTCATTCAGTGTTGTTGTATTTAGAAAATATCCTCTGTATGATTTCAGTACCTGAGTATATTAGACTGTGTTATAAAGCCCAGTGCATGGTATATATTGGTGAATGTATCATTACACTTCAAAAGAGTATGTATTTTGCTGTTGGGTATAGTGGTATAGTTCTATAAATATCAATTAAAATAGTGTGGTTGATAATGTACTTTGGATTTTCTATGTGTTTACTGGGTTGTTTTGTTTTGGTGTAATGTTTTTTTCTCCCTTCTTTTACCAAGAGTGGTATATTAGTCTCCAACATGACTATGAGTGTTTCTGTTTTTCCTTGTAATTTTGTCAGTTTTGCTTCATAMGTTTTGATGCTCTATTAAAACTATATGGTTTTCTATAATGTATAATATATAATCATGTTGTACCTTCCTGAAACATTGTCCCTTTTATCATAAAGTTTTCAACTTTATATTAATAGGCACAGCAGTATTTTTGTGCTTACTATATGCTTGTTATTTTTTTATCAGCCTTTTACTATTGACTCATTTGTATCTTTATATTTTAAAGTGAATTCCTACAAGACAAAAAATTAGTTATTTTCTGGTTCCTTGCTGTGTTAACCCTTCTGACAGTGTCTGCATTTTGATAGGATTATTTAGTCCGTTTATACTTAATGTAAATATGGATATATTTATGCTTAAGTCTCCTATTTTGCTGTTTGTTTTTAAGTTTTCCATTTGTGCCTTCTTTCCTGCTTTATTTAAGTTCTTTATCTTCATTCCTCTATTGGCTTTGTGTACTATATGTTTTGGTTTTTTTAAAGAGGGGTACTCTAGGGTTTACAATATGTATCTGAGTTATACTACTGGTTAACTTATACCACTATACTTAGAGTTGATTGAATTATTTAGATAAATTATAGGAACCTTACAGCTATTCCTTTAATGTTCTTGCTTTCTGCATGTTACATTTCTATTTTCATATAGTGGTTTAATCTTTACATATACTACATTCTTTTGCATATCTTCACACATTCCACATTTATAACATCTACGTGTTATAAATTTACAAATATATTATTTTTAAATTGCCCTGTAAATTTTAAAGAAATTAAGAATGGAAAATATATTTAGACTTTAAAACTTATCCTTGTGTTTATATTTTCTGGTCTTCTTTTTCTTTCTAAAAATTCAAATTGATATTTCCTTTCAAACTGAAGAATTTTCTTGTGTTTTTCTATATATAGATTTGCTCAGGATGAGTTTCTTTTCTTTTTTAATATCCCAAACATGTGCTTTTGTGTGTTGTCTTTTTTCCTTGGGGAGAACTTCATTGGATTTAGAATTCTTTTTTAAAAAAGATAACAGCACTTTGGATATGTTCTTCAGTCTTCTTGCTTTCGTAGTTTGAACAAAAGCATTAGTTTTTGCTCCTTTGTAAAATATAATTTTCTCTGGTTGGTTTTAACAGGTTTTTTTTGTTGTTGTTGGTTTCAGTAGTTTGATTGCGAAATATATATAGTAGTATTTTTTTTAGTGTTTGTCCCAATTGAGGTTCATTGAACCTCTTAGATTTGTAAACTAATGTTTTTCCACCAAATTTGGGGAGTTGTTAGTTATTATTGCTTCAGATAATTTTTTAACTCTTTCATTTCCTCTGGTTTTTACTGAAATATTTCTCATTATTGCATAGGTGTCAGGTTCTTCTCTTATTTCCTTGTGCTTTTTCTCTTTATTTTTTTGGATTGGAAAACTTCTGGTGATCTGTTACCAATTTCACAGAGTTTTTTTTTTTTTCCCCCTTTGTCCTATAATCTGCTTTTGAGCCTGCCTAGATAATTTTTATTTTAATAATCGTTCTTTTCACCTTTACTATTTTTCTTTTTGTCTTTCAAATTTGACTTTTTTGATATATTCTATTTGTGCCTTCATATTTTCCTTCAATTCTTCGAACACATTTCTAATAGCTATTTTGTAGTCTTTATTTGCTTAATGTAACATCTGGCTCCACTTAGAGTCGGTGTCTGACTTATTTTTTATTCTAAATTGGATTCCACTCAATGGTCTTTCATGTTTGATAATTTTGGTTAAATTTCAAAACTAAGTAAATTTTTAAAACTAGACCTTCTCTAGAAGTATGTAGTGTATGATTTCTTTGACATTCTTTGAGAATTGTTAGGAAATATTAATTTTTCATTTTACTGATTTATGGTTATGTAAAATATATCATTTTTAGTGAGATCATTTTCATAGATTTCCAGTTATAAGATTTTAGAATAATGTTACTGTCTTGGGATCAGGCCTGAATTTTGTAAAGTTAAGAAATCATTTTCTTTAATTTTATGAAGTTTTGAGTTTTGTAGACAAAGACCCTATTATTTGGAGTTGCTCTCAGTATGATGTGTCAAAGTAAATTATGATTACCATTTATTAAACAGTTAGCCATGCGACTTGTGTAGTGTTAAGCATTTTGGGTACATACTTGACATATTTATATGACATATTTATAAATATGACATATTTTTAAAATGTCATGTGCAAATATAAACATAAATCAGCTAAATACAGAATTAAAAGTTCCTAACAATTCTCAAAGAATGTAAAAGATGCACTACAATATTATCTAGAAGATCTAGTTTTCAAGTTTTACTTAGTTTTGAAATTTAACCCAAAATTTACCAAGTATGCACATTTTAGAACTTAAGGAAATTACCTTTTTCACATAGCTGAGTTGAGCTTTAAGATGTAATCAGTCCTTCTGACTTAAGAATCCTGACTCAGTAACTATCTATGTTGTCCTACCCTCCATTTTTTTTGGTCATTGTCATATGATTTTTAAAGGTGGATTTTTTTGTTTGTTTTGGTCTTAATTATAATTAAAAATTGGTCAAAATGGCATAACATACCATATCATACCTCTTTTTTTTTCCAGTTTAAAAGGTCTTTCTGATAATGAAAGAATTAGACGAGAGTCTTTGATCCTGCCTTAGTCCAAAGTCTTTAGTTTCTCTTTTAATCCACTAGATAATATAATCTTGTATTCAAATAGTCTTCACCTCTAGAATACAATAAGCTTAAATTGCAAGTGTTTTATAATTTGCTCCTTAAGGAACATGTGTGGATATGTGTGTCCATGTGCAGGGAGTATGTGTATATATATATCAATAGATTCATTCATGCATATATGATATTTGTGTAAAATGTGTATATTGTAGTATATGTACATGTATGTGTGTGTATATATATATCACAACATACATACATATACGTACATATCTCATCAACATAGATACAACTTAGAAAGTCTTCCACTATTGAAAAGGGGAAAGAAAAATTTTAAATTATTTCTAGTCTGGTTCTTTGAATTTTTTTCTTTTGAAAATGAAAATAGAATCATTGGCTTTGAAATTCATGACAAGATCAAAAACTATAATGCACATAGATTTTTCAAGGTATCCATTTTTTTGAACCCTTATTTAATATAAACCTTACATTGTAGGTTTATATTAAGCATTAAGTGATTGATTTATTTTTTTAAAAATTGAGTTTCTTTGAAAGCATGGTACTAAAAAGGGCATACAGCTGTGTACAATACTATGCAATCATGTTCTCAGGTAGTTTATAGAAAGACTAATGGCATGGATAGATATTACATGATTAGAGTTACAATTTCTGTTTTTTAGAGGGGAAAACAGATTTCAATTAGATTCTTTCTGTAACTTAATTCTGACTTTTAATAATTGGCTTTGGTGTTTTGTTAAATTAATAATTGGTGATTTGCAGTAGAATTGATCATTTTGGATGTCAGAAAATGAATGGTTTATATTTAATACTTAATACTTTAATACTTAATTTAATACTTAGTACTTAAAGCATTTAATCACTTTAAAGGTCTCTGCAGTGGACAGCTTCATTTCTAAAAAAACTTCGGGAATTTTTTTTGTAAATTTTTTTTTTGTAAATTATATGGTAAGAGTTTAACTCATGACTACACTGGGGCATATCTATGACAAACTGTTTTTCTTGAGGTAAAGCCATTTAAGGACCCATATTGAACCAGACAACTCCTTATCACTCTTTCTCTTCATTATTACTACATTTTTCCTGTATACCTGCCAGTTTCCTTTGAGAAATGCAGTTTTATTTTTCAGAGTGGAAAAGCCACTGGCAATGATTCAAGTGGTGTCATTGATCTCACAATGGATGATGAAGAGACTGGAGCTTTACAAGGTACTTCAATAGTAATAATAGTGAAGAATGCCTTTTTCCTACTGTTATATATATTTTTTCCTCCTGTTATACTAATATTCTATGAAGACATATCTCTATTTTTTCCTCCTGTTACACTAATATCCTGTGAAGACATCTCTCCAACATTATGTTTGGTGTATTTGTATCCCTTTGAGAATGAGAGTTTTAAAAATTGAGTTAAAAATTAGAAATCAAATTTTGAATGAATATGAACAAGACCTAGAGGAAAATAGCATCTAGCAGTGTATTTAATTTATTAGCGTCTCTGTATTTGTGTCTGTTATTTCACTTGATCCTTGTAATAACCTAGTCATACTCATTTTAGAGTTGAAAGAATTCATTGGACTTAGGACAAGCCACATTCACATCTAAAATCCTTAATAATTATAATATTATAATGACTTATGATATTTAGGAACTAAATTGTATGTATATTAAAGCATATTTCCTGTTATTTTTTTGAAGTGTTAATAGATGTTCTATAAATAAAATGATTCATGGTTAAAAAAGCTTGGGAAATGCTGAATTAGAGTTCAGTGGGTCTTTTCCTTAATGTAAACTTCTTTAAGTCTTTACTTAGCTAACTTAGAATGTAAATCTTAATTCATGATATAAAAGTATTTCTCAAACTTGTAGAAAATAATTTGGTTCACAGATATTTCTGTAAAACTCTGGTGATATGAATGCATGTGGAAAATCTAGTAAGATCAGATGCTAAGTTAATTATTACTATCTTAAAGAAGTGAAACTTTAAAAAAAAACCTGAGTCATATTTTAGGGAATAAGATATTTTACTTGGTTTTAGAGAAGTAAAATTAAATAACTATACAGTTGAGTATATGACAACAAAGTTATTTTTTTCTTATAAAACTGAAGAACAGTTGAAATAAAACCATTCTTTCATCATGGTTGACTGCATACCAGTACAATCTTTTTGTTAGAGTTTCAAATTATCTGTATTGCTTTCACTTTTTTTTTTAATGGACAGATTTGACTATAATGGATCTGTAGAGGACAAAAATAAATGTAGGCTATTTTGAGATGATACAGGTAGGGCTGATTACAGATTAAAATATAAAATAAGCAAAGTTTGATTTAGTGCTCTTGCCATTTCACTTTCTAACATCCATTGCTTCCTGGGGTCCCTTTGCATTGTTCTACCTTTAGGTATGTCTTGAATTCCCCCATTCTAAAATACATTATTCTCCTGTAACATTAAAGTATCAGTTGCTAAAGCCTTAAATTTTATTTAGAGTCAAGATAGATAAGGATCATTTTATATAGAAAAGCTTTTAGCTTGTACTCCTCATATTACATTATATAGTGGATTCCTATTCTTAAGAAACTTGTCTGAGGTGCAGACATTTATTTTCTAGGATATTGAGACCTTTTTTGGAAACTAGATATTGTGTACGTATTTTATTTTAAAGACCAGGTAGTGATGATAAGCCTCCATTTGTATTGACAAACAGAAGAACCTAAACAACCTTGAGCAATTGGAATTCAAAGTCATACTGACAAACCCATCACTTTATAGTATTTGTTTAGGAAAATTTCCTTGATACAGGTATGTATGTACATAGATAAGTATTCTTGCAATGAAATTATTCTGGTTGACATGATAACTATTGAATCCAGAAGATACTTCCACTAAAATAATAAAACAAACCAACTTCTTAAAAATGTGAGGTAGAATTGCTTTCAGAAGCAATAGTGAATTATTTAAATAGCTCCTGACTTGGCTTTCAAATCCTCAAAAATACACATAATTAAAAAATAAAGAAGTTGCCGGGCCCAGTGGAGCATGCTTGTAATCCCAGCAGCTCAGGAGGCTAAGACAGGAGGATCACAAGTTCAAAGCTTCAGCAAAAGAGAGTCACTAAGGAACTCAGTGAGACCCTGTTTCTAATTTAAAAAAAAAATAGGACTGGGAATGTGGCTCAGTGGTTGAGTACCCCTGAGTTCAATCCTTGGTACCAAAAAAAAAGGGGGGGGGGTCGTTCTCGGAGAAGTGGGTAAAAGTGACATTCCAATGGAAAATGAAAATTAAAACTCATCAATAAAGGAAAGTTATGTATTTTCTAATTTTTCTATCATTATTCCTAACGTGTCACTTTTAATTAACAGACCCCAAAAAGCTAAATCACACTCCTGTGTCAGCCATGGGTTCTTCTCAGCCTATGTCTCGACCATTGCAACCCATACAACCAGCACCACCTCTTCAGGCATCAGGGGTGCCAACAAGTGGACCATCTCAAACAACAATACACTTACTACCTACAGGTAAATTTGCTGAAGCACTGAGCAGAACCTGTAGTTTTGCCTGTAGAGAAGTATGACCGTGGAATTGAGATGAAAGATTACATAGAAAATTAAGAATAATTTTCACTGTTATTTTGAAGGTGATATGTCTTTTTTAATACAGTGTAATTTAGTGTTGCTGACTGTCTCAAGTAACAGTACTGGCAGAGAGTGATTATAAAGAGGACTTACTTAATCTATATATCTTTGTCATTTGCCACTTTAAAGAACATGGATGACATAGTTTCTCTGGAAGGCCCAGTTATAATAATTATGTTCTGAGTAAATCCAAGATATAATCATTGACTTCTCAAGCAAGAATTTTTTTGAGTGGTTCTTAACTTAAACTCTCCTCACACACCATCAGGACTTATATGCTAATATTCTACTTTCTGCAGTTCAAGAAACCATAAATCAGACATTTTCAAGATATAATCTGTATCACCTTACACTGTTCAGAAGCCATTCAAGACAATTTATCTCCTTTTAATAAGTCTATTGCTTGGAAATTTATCTGCAAAGTACTTATTACAATTGCTTACTAAGGAAAACATCCAGTGAAAATGGGATTTTATCCAATGAAATTTATACTTAGAATACCTGAATAATTTGTAGGAGAAGGGATATTTTCTAGAGATTTAGCAAACCCATTCATTAACTAATCTTTGAATTATGAAATTATTTTTGTTATAGTAAGTGCAGTGTGGTTTAGTGTAGTTATTGCTGTGTAGATTTCAGAATTCTAGATGCTTAACGAGAATTTCCTATCAGTTAAACTACATTTTACCTTTTTGGCCTTGCGTATTGACTTGCAGAAAACAGTGAGTGCTTATGTAAGACTTTATTTCTGGTGAAGTTTTATATTGGTTCTCATATTTAAATACCACTGTTTCATCTAAAGAGGCAGTTATTATTAATTCAACCTTAAAAGCTGGTAAGTTACCTGTGTTTCTATGTTTATACAAAATTTTAACTATTACCCAATTTAGATATTTTAGAAGGAAATGTCATTATGCAAATACATAGACAGCATAGATAATAAAAAGAGAAGTCTTTCTTATATTATTTAGTTTCTTTTTTTGAAAGTTCACATTGAAAGTTGAAGATATGTAAAGACCAAGGGGTCTTTACCTGTTTTTTGTTTGTTTGCGCGCGCGCACACGTGTGTGTGTGTGTGTGTGTGTGTGTGTGTGTGTGTGTGTGCTCATTTGTGTTTTATTTTTGGCTGACTGGAAATCAAACCCAGCACTTTATGTATGCTCTGCAATACTCACTCTACCATGAGCTGCATGTTAGCCTGAGTTGTCTTAGTAAGAAAACCTTTCTTTTTTTATGTGTAACTCTTCTTCAAACTTATTGAATTATGAAACCCATTTTTTGATGTGAAAGTAGATTTTGTGATGTTTTGTTACTACATGATCATTTCTAAAATGTGATTCTAATTCACAGAGTTATTAACAAGAAAATGTTAACTTCAGAATCACCATTTTGTCAGGCTAGTGACAGGTATCTGTAGTCCCAGCTCTCAGTGAGACTGAGGCAAGAGAATCACTTCAGTCCAGGTGTTTGAGGTCATCCTAGACAAAATAGTGAAACCCTGAGACACCCTATCTTTTAAATAGAACACATTATTGTATTTCCGTTGTGTGAGTGAATTGAGACTCATTTTTTGATAACTGTCAACATTACTCAAGGTGTGTTAATGTTCTCTTGAGGTGGGGTTACTGGAGTAAAGGAAGAAGAAAATGTGAATGTAATAACTGGCCAAAAACATAGGTTGGTTCACTTGATACAAATAAAAATATGAATTATAATAGCAAGCACTTTGATGAACTGAAATATAAAGATATTCTTTTAGATCTATACCTCCTTGTTAGAAGACACTATAGGGCCTGCAATTTTAGGGAATACTTTAGTATTCAGGAGGGACAAATTATTCTTTAAAGACATTCCCATAGCAAAACATATTCTTAATCAAGTTCTATTATGTAGTCAAACCAAAGAGTGAAATTGAGTTGTTCTCTAAAGCTTGGATTTTAATATTACACTTAATTTTGGTTGGCTTTATCACTTTTACCTTGCAAGTTCATAAAGGACACTTTTATCTCTATTTATCTTATAGTTTTTTACATTTTATATAGAGATAATTATCATGTAATATGGTTTGCTTAACAGAATATGCTGCATTCTTAATATCTTTTTTCCCTTCCATTAGCTCCAACCACCGTGAATGTAACACATCGTCCAATAACTCAGGTGACTACAAGACTCCCTGTACCAAGAGCTCCTGGAAACCATCAGGTGGTTTATACAACTCTCCCAGCACCACCACCTCAGGCTCCCCTCCGAGGAACTGTTATGCAGGCTCCTGCCGTTCGTCAGGTCAACCCTCAAAACAGTAAGTCTCTTTTCTTGTATATGGCTCTGAAGTTTATGTAGTTCCCTTTTCCGCATTTAGTTGGAGTGGCTTATATTGATTGACATTAGATTTTGCCAAAAGTGTGTATAATATCATATTAAAATAATTATTATAAATTCAAAACATCTGTTGTACAACATAGTTCTATAGTATAATTGATAACTATGTATTTATTGTATACTTGAAAATTGGTGATAGAAATTAAGTATTTGAGGGTAATGCCTATTAATTAGCTTGATTTAACTATTCCACAGTGTATACATATTTCAAAACATACCACACACCACAAGTATATAGTTTTTCAATTAAAAATTTTTTAAGTGGCCAAAAAAAATTATTACTAATTTACTTTTTTATCCTTAGGAAAATTCACCAGAGAAGGTTGGATATGTACACTATATGATTTGTGCTATGTGTGTTGTTTTCAATTTGACGTCACTTATTTATTGCCTATATCTTTATATAGTGCCTTATTTGATGTATAGCTATATTCCATTCTGTTAAAGAAACATCAGTGCCTAATTAAAGTGGATATGTTCAATTTTGGTTTAGTCCAGATGATTGAAATCATTGTAAAAGATAGATTTCATTGAGAAACTCTGTAAAGTACTAAGGTGCTTGAGAAATAAAAGAAGGGAAAATAAGGAAACTTTTACTTTCCTATACATATGTTATATATTACTGATATATATATATATATATATATATATATATAACTATGTATATAATTTACAAATTATAGTAACTGTATTTATTATTTATTATTTATTATATTAAAAATACTTTATATGTTTTAGTAGTAGAATATAGCATATGAATTCAAGTTGTGTAAGAGGTTTATTTAAAGTTTAAAGAAAAATAATAAAGTAAATTACCTATGAACTTACTAGATTATGAAATAAGTTTAACCAGTAACCTATACGCCCTCCAGTATGCCTTTCCCTATTGTATCCCGATCCCTTTTCTTTTACTGTCCTTGCTTTTCTCTTGGTCATTCTGCTTTAAAGGTTTTGTCACCCATATAGTTATCCATATAATAAATGCACACTTGTATACATACATAAATAACATACGTGTGTGTGTGTATGAAACTTTTGAAAAATTTAATAGCAAAGATAAATATAGGTGTTTAAAGAAACTATAATAATGTCATTATTATATATGATAGCTATGAGAGTCACTTTTTCATTGTCTGGCTTTAACTTTCTCAAGTTGTTAAGAGCCTTCTCTGGGAAAATCAGTTGCATAAAAATGAGGTTTGGGAAACTAGATTCACCAGGGCACCTTCTGGCAGAACTATGATATGAGCCAGCTACTGAATATATGACTGAAATATGATTGAGACAGTATATGTCTCTGTTCTGTACTTCTGTTGCCCTGGGGTGTATCTTAGAAATGTCATTTGTGGATAAAATAAATAGTTTCCTCCATTGATCCGTGGGACATGAAGAAAAAGAGAAAAACCTAATTTACACAAGGCAAGGATGACCGTTCTTGAAGCTTTCTGTTCTAGTTAGAAATGTGAAAGAAGACAGGAATCTTTATAAAGACAACTTCAGTTTGTCTTTTGAGTCACTATTTCATTGTAGTTTGTTTGCCTTCTTCTTGTTTGGCACAGAACCAGTGTTCTGGGATTTTTGTTTGTAGTCCTCCTAGTGAGAATACATGTATTTCTTTCTGTGCTGGATATCCTTTTCTTATGTCTTCCTTTCTTCTTCTTCTTTTTTTTTTTTTTTCTCATATCAGTGACATATAATTCAGTGGGTACTTGAGAAGGGGTTCCCAGAAGTTTGTATTTTTTTTTATTTTAATTTTTTTTAGTCATACATGACGGCAGAATGTATTTTGACATATAATACATACATGGAATGTATATACATCAATCATATTGTCTATTCTATTCTGCTGCCCTTCCTACCCCCACTCCTCCCCTCCTCTCCCATCCTTTCTCTCTATCCAATCTAATGTGACACACTTTTTTTTTCTTTTTCTCATTACAACATCATAAATGTATTCTGTATAACAGTGAGGTTCTCCTTCCAACTTCCATGCAACTCCCCTTCTCCTTATTTTTCCCTCTCACCTCTCTTCCCTATTTAGTGGTAGTCTTCTTCTCATGCTCTTCCTCCCTATCCCATTTTGAATCACCCCCCTTATATCAGAGGAGACATTTGGCATTTGTTTTTTAGGGATTGGCTAACTTCACTTAGCATAATCTGCTCTAGTGCCATCCATTTCCCTGCAAATGCCATGATTTTGTTATTTTTTAGTGCTGAGTAATATTCCATTGTGTAT